CGCTGTTGAAAACCAAACTCTAGCCTAAAATAAATATGAGATAATGTCTAGATGCTTTTTACAGTGTAGATCTAGTATATAAATTGCCTGGCTGGTCTGATGAGACAGTGGATTCAGATGGAACAGAGTAAATAGGCATTTGAACGTCATAGCCTTAGCCGGTGGTAACTTGTGGAATAGACACCGGCTGGAATGCGGTTTTAACCAATCAGCATCCAGGATTGTATACTGTCTGATACAACATTCACAGTCTTAGCCCTATCATATACAGTACAGTATATAATTCATTCAAAGAATATCTCACTGATTCATCTCATTGTTGGTCATGACAATGTGTGTCTTGAAGATGTAGCTTGATAGTAATGGTATGGATATGGAAAGGGTACTCTGTCCTCCCTGTCCTGCATAGACAAGGCTCCCTGCCTTCTTAAGGAAAAAATTAAATAAATTATCCTACTCCACTCACGCAAAGTAACCTTGTTTATGTGGTTTTAAACAGACGCCTTGCCAGCATGTAGAATGTTAGGTTGAGTTAAAACAGGGACTAGTTGTGGTTGCCTGCCAGTAGTAGGAGCCTTTTAGCCGGGACAGAGTGGCCTGTGTTTAGCTACAGCATTAGAGGGAACAACAGAACACAACAGGTCAGGGCAGGAAATCAATAAAGACTTCCTGAATCCACACACACTGGTGATTTACAGGGAAACATCTGAGGAAGGAGTTGTTAGTAACAGGCCACTGGAGCCTGGACTGGGACTGGAGAACATAAGTTGGATAATTGTTTTGTCCACGTAAGTAAATAAGTGTATACTTTTTTTTTGTCTGCGCGTGTGCGTTCTCCTTTCTGAGATTACATGGAGTGAATAATTTTTTTCTTTTTTGCAAACATTCAGGAAAACGTGGTGTTAAATTACGATTATTGAGTTTGGGAAGAGATTATGAGAAGATTTGGTGATGATTTGGTCTCATAAAGAGTTTTCATTATGAGAAGTGCATTGTATTTATTTATTTACCATTGCGATAGGATCTATTTTTCAAGGGAGCCCTGGCCAAAAGGTAGCAGCATAATGGTGTATATTGTGGTGTAATTTCATATTAATACTTTTTCTTCGAAGTTAACTCTAGTTCCTAGATATTTGTTGCTCTCCAAATCCTATTAATTCCTTTCTGTTTCGTCCATAAAACCAACATTTCATTTCCCAAACGAGGCATTTGTTCAGAGTTTGCTGAAACCCCTGGACAACCAACCCCTAATGTAGTTACGATGTTAATAATAGATTGATAGAAGGAATACTTCTCTGAGAATTAGCCATAAGTGAAATAGTTGACACTATGAAACCTTTATCAAGGCACATTTCTAGGAACTGACAGTATGGTGTAGTAGTTGTTGTGTCTAGACTTTCATTGGCCAAAAACATGTAAAGTAAAGTTTGATTGGTTCTCAGTTTGCCAAGACTTTTCCTTGTCTACTTGAAACATCTCATGGTTGTGAGAGTAAGGGGGGATAGAGTCTGTCTGTCATGACTTGCTTTGCTCACTCTCCAAAGACAGTTCAGTATCATTCCATGTAAAGGTTTTGGTCCCACTTTAACCAAACAACCAATTTAAAACCCTTTTTAAGACCTTCACAAATGCTTCACAGATCATTCATAAGTAAATGCTATGTAAAGGATGATAAAAAGGTTATGCCACATCTCCAGATATAGCCTCAACGACTGTTATATAGTATGACTTTGCTTATAAATCACTTGTGAAGGATCTACGAAGGCCTTATAAAGGGTTTACAAAGCCTTCATTAAGCGTTGACTTCAAAGATGTTGTTTGTTGACCATCTGGTCATTAAGTCACTGTTAGCAGCACATCCTCATTGTTCCATATAGTATATACAGTACTGTAACCCCACGGCTGTCCCAGACAGGCCACCAACGCAGTGGTCTATCCAGGCCTTCCATCTTCCCAGGGGGGTTGTCACCACGGTTGACACATCATCTCTCGCTCTACCCAGTAGTTAAGACTGTCTCATCTTTCACAGATGATCACATTTGATACTTCCATAAAAGGATTTGGCATCCGTATAAAGGACCTTTATGTGCTTTTATAACGCATAGTTCTCTGCGTTCTTCTTTTATATATTCCCCTCCCTCCCTCGCCTGTCTCTTTCACTCTCTCTTCCTCTCTTTGGTTAAGGCTCATATCTGAATGGAGCTGGATCATAGAGGGCTCTAGAGATGCCACCCCTGGTTTGGGAGTAGGCTTTAGAGGGATTTGGTGGGTCTGGGCCATTGAGGTGGATTAGACATGGTCAATACAGACCTGACTTTAGGGGGTCTGGAGAGAGAGGAGGGAGGATGAGACAGCATAGGAGGACTGTCTGAGGTAGCCCAGAGGAGAACGGGTAATGCTAATTAGAAGAGGTGGAGGGGAGTGTGTGTGTGTGGGGAAGGTGTGAGTGTGTGTTAGGGCTACAGCTACAGACCCCCCCCCCCCCTTATCAGGGCCATGTCTGCCTCAGAAACCCCCCAGGCTACAGGGCAGACCAGCCCCTACGCTGCCCTGACTGTCTGGACCAGCCCCTACTCTCCCATGTCTGGACCAGCCCCTACTCTCCCATGTCTGGACCAGCCCCTACTCTCCCATGTCTGGACCAGCCCCTACTCTCCCATGTCTGGACCAGCCCCTACTCTCCCATGTCTGAAGTCAATCATGAGCTCTGAACTACTGCAATTCTCTCTCTCTCTCTCTCTCTCTCTCTCTCTCTCTCTCTCTCTCTCTCTCTCTCTCTCTCTCTCTCTCTCTCTCTCTCTCTCTCTCTCTCTCTCTCTCTCTCTCTCTCTCTCTGTCTCTCTCTTTCTGTCTCTCTCTTTCTATCTCTCTCTGTCTCGCTCTCTCTCTCTCTCTCTCTCTCTCTCTCTGTCTCGCTCTTTCTATCTCTCTGTCTCTCTCTCGCTCTTTCTATCTCTCTCTCTCTCTCTCTCTGTCTCGCTCTTTCTATCTCTCTGTCTCTCTCTCTCTCTGTCTCCCTCTCTCGCTCTTTCTCTCTCTCTCTCTCTCTCTCTCTCATTGATATATACCCTCCCTTCTCTCATCCAAGATACCTGACACACACACCCCTGGCAGCTGCTTGGCCCCCAAACACCAACTCATTAAAGTCGTGGCTGAACGCCTCTTATGGTTCACTGCCAACATTAATGATCAACTTCACTTTGTTAAAAACTCTCCTTCAGCTCTACAACAAGGACATTAGAGAGAGAAGGAGCATGCCTGCCTGCCAGCTGTGTGTGTGTCCACTTGCATGTTCATTGGATGTGCGTGTGTGTTTTCCTCTGTGATGTACAGTACAGTGTGTGTGCCAGCTTCTGCTGTTGCCCATGGTGATAGCGGGGCATTAGGCACCCAGATGGTTTTAGACTGGACTTGGTGCCAAGTTGCCAACTCCAGTGGTCTCCGGGGCTGCTGTGAGCAGCTAGCTAGGGCCAGATGTTTAGGACTGCAGCAACTTACGCTTCACGCTTCCTTTTCCCTTCACTTGCTCTAGATCTTTAAAGAGGAGTGATGGTTCCACATCTGTGCCCACAACGTGCAAGAGAGACACACGGTTGAATAACTACACCAGAAGTTTACAGTAACAGATGTAGTGTAAATGTCTGTCAGTCTGTCTGTCTGTCTTGGGGGTGTTGGGAGCAAAACAGAAGAAGAATGTCAGTCTCTGATAGACTAATATACACTATTCTATTTTATTATATTCTATACTATTCTATACTAAACTATTCTATACTATACTATTCTATACTAAACAATTATATACTAAACGATTCTATACTAAACTATTCTATACTAAACTATTCTATACTATTCTATTCTATACTATGCTATTCTATACTAAACTATTATATTATGTTCTATACTATTCTATACTAAACTATTCTATTCTATACTATACTAAACGATTATATACTATACTAAACTATTCTATACTAAATTATTTTATTCTATACTATTCTATTCTATACTAAACGATTATATACTAAACTATTCTATATTAAATTATTTTATTCTATACTATTCTATACTAAACTATTCTATACTAAACTATTCTATACTATGCTATTCTATACTATGCTATTCTATACTAAACTATTCTATTTTACTCTATACTATTCTATACTAAACTATTCTATACTGTGCTATTCTATGCTAAACTATTCTATACAATTCTATACTAAACGATTATATACTATACTAAACTATTCTAAACTAAACTATTCTATACTAAACTATTCTATACTAAACTATTCTATACTATGCTATTCTATACTAAACTATTCTATTTTATTCTATACTATTCTATACTAAACTATTATATTCTATACTATTCTATACTAAACTATTCTATTCTATAATATTCTATAATATTCTTATCTATTCTATTCTATGAAAATAGGCCATTGTTCTCTTATTCTATCTGCTAGGAACACTGTCGCTCCTCCATGTGTTCTTAAAGGGGATGGAGGTGGACCTCACACCGTTTCCTCAACCCCTGCATGTCTAGCTTCATACCACACACGGTTTCCTCAACCCCTGCATGTCTAGCTTCATACCACACACCGTTTCCTCAACCCCTGCATGTCTAGCTTCATACCACACACTGTTTCCTCAACCCCTGCATGTCTAGCTTCATACCACACACCGTTTCTTCAACCCCTGCATGTCTAGCTTCATACCACACACCGTTTCCTCAACTCCTGCATGTCTAGCTTCATACCTCACACAGTTTCCTCAACCCCTGCATGTCTAGCTTCATTTGAATGAATGTGTGTGATTATCAGTAATGACAGGATAAGTTTGCGTCTGGGGGTTTGGGATAGGGGGAGTAGCTCAATTACTGTTGCGTTGCTATAACCTTTGACCCCGCTAAGGTCATCTGGGTCAGCTTTGGTGGCCACTCACTCCAGCTCTGCACAATGTCAGCACACTAGACAGGTGTCAACCGGCCAGCCCATAAAATGGTCAAAAGTACAAGGCCCAGAGGTCAGGAATGCTTGGAGTCACTAAAAGGTTTAAATCAAATTATCAGATTTGTTAAATTGATCTAATCTGGCATAGAGATAGAGAACATTCTATTATCTATGGTTTGTGGTGTTCAGTTGACACGCTGCTCTTTGTACGTTTATATCCGATATCTTTCATGGAGTAAAAATATCAAAAAGCTCAAATACATTTTATACAGAAGGCATTGTTGCTCTAGGTGTCTTTCGCTGCACTTTACTGTCTAAGCGGTGATTGGATGTCTGTATGTATGTTGCAACCAGTCGTCATTGGCCATGTGTATGTTTGACTGACAGCTCTGTCCTTTCTCCCTCAGGTGTGTCCTGTGAGGACCAGTTAGAGGTATGGTGGGTGTGGTTGGCCCTGTAACCATGGTGACGTCTCTGCTGGAGGTTGTGTCCCTTCCTCCCGTTGGTCTACTGCTGCTCCTCTGCCTGCCACTCTGTCTATGCCAGCAGTCATTGGTCAACTTTGAGAGCCCGTCCCCGCCCCCACCAGAGTGTACCAGGAAAGTTCATCCCATCGTCCCATACAAAGGTGAGCACATAAGGTACTTTGAGCATTTGCTTGAGTCTGCCTGTTGTGCCAGATAGTTGGGGTTTGCATTTTTGAGAGTATACAATTGGTTCCACTGCGCCAGGCAACTCAATCAAGCATAGCTAAAGTATTTAAAAGATTTCCAATACCATTTAGTAAATCTACTCCTTGCAGCATTCACTAGCATAATCATTCCAATGAGACGTTTCACAATGGTCTGCTATTCACTGCTATCTCCTCTGAGGATTCTGCAGCCTCATCCTTTTCAATCACGCCTCTGCCCGTAAAGCTAGCTATAGGGGTCTGGCCCAAGAGAAACCAAAAGGACAGCAACATTTTGTGATTGTAGATAATTTGACTCCTCTCATTTCTGGAGCCTTTTCCCTTTTAGAGAGCTATCTATTCTTTCTCTCTTACATCCCAAAAAACTCTCCCTCACTCCTTCCCTCCACAGTCAGCTCTGAGAGAGAGAGAGAGAGAGAGAGAGAGAGAGAGAATTTCCACTCCATTTGGATGTCTGTTAGAACTTGTCTGTCCTTTGCCAGGATGCGCCCCCTCTCAGGGGTGTAGTTTCTGAGGGGGGGGGGGATGACTGTCAGATGGCTCAACTGTCAATCATCAGACACTTGGCACACTTCTCACATATGCTGGTCCAATGTGGCTGAGACTGCCATCACTATGTACCTCAGGGAATAGGGCTGTCTGCTATTGTTGTCTTAATGGAGGCCGGATGGCCACCTTTGATGTGGGTGGGGGCCACAAAAGATTTGAACTCATCATGAGGGGCCGCAGTGGCTCGCAGTTACTTTTGAGGGCCCTAAGTGACATTTTGTTGTTTGAAATTTTCTTAAGTTACATTTTGTTTTCTCCCCATATGACTGCGACGAGAAGAATTTGACATTTTCGAGTAATTTCCTGCAATTCTACAGATTTTACCATGGGGTGGAGATTTTTAATATGATATCTGAGTAAGAGTGACTAACAAAATCAATGGGGGCCCCCGGTCGGTAATTTGACCATGATTACTACAAGTTTAGATAGCTGGATAGACTAACTTACCAATATAAAAAATGTTAGCTGACACGGCCTGTCAGTGACTGATATATATTTTGGGGGTGGAGTTGATCGCAGGCCTACAAAAGGGGGGCCAACAGTTGCTCATCCCTGCTGTAGACAAACATTGATATTGACTGAAGCCATTCAGATCCAGGTGACATTGTATCAAGCATGCCTGTATGTTGCTGTACATTTCCCTATGAGAAATGTAAGTATTCAATATATTTATACATTTAATCTATCCACTAGAGAATACAACTGTAGGCACTGCATGTTTTGACCTGTATTGTAATGGTCACTACTACACAAATGTTGTGTTTGTGATAACAAGGTCAGACATTTTGTAAAGAGCTCAAAGCAGCAATAATAAGATCTGCATTCAGAAGGATTTACTGCTGCTGTGTTGTGGATGTTTATGGTGTGATACGAATGCCGTCAGAAGTTGTGTGCCATTTTTCATTTTTAATATCGCCTTCATTGAAAGATCTCAGTGGGACTAACCTTTATGCAGGATACAATTTCTAATTTTTAACGAGATAGACGGCAAGTCATTATTCCTACCCAGAGGGAGCATTTAAGGTTATTTTATGGACAAAGAACCAGAGGTCTGTTTTAACAGTGTGAGGTTTAAGATAATAGTGTCACACCCTGGCTCTGGGACTCTATATGTTGAGCCAGGGTGTGTTCATTCTATGTGGTTTATTTCTATGTTGGGGGTTCTAGTTTGTCGTTTTCTATGTTTGCCTTAGTGACTCCCAATCAGAGGCAACGAGTGTCAGCTGTTGGCTGGTTGTCTCTGATTGGGAGCCATATTTAACTGTCTGTTTTTCACTTTGTGTTTGTGGGTTTTTGTTCCGTGTTCGGTCATTGTCACCGTGGACTTCACGAGTCGTTTCTTGTTTTGTATTTTGTTTGACACTTTAACTAATTAAAGTATGTTCGTTCAACACGCTGCGCATTGGTCTCTCCCTGACGATCGTGACAGAAAAACCCACCATACTAGGACCAAGCAGCGTGTCCAGGAGCAGGCAGACTGGACATGGGAGGATCGCCGGCCATGGAGTGAGACTGACGAGAGGCAACCCCAAAAAATTTTTAGGGGGGGGCACACGGCATGGACGACGGGGCTGACGGAGGCAAAAGAGGGGCGGATTCTGGAGGCCACCAGGTTACGGATACACCGCCCTGTACGTCCTGTGCGGATGCCTCACACAGAGTGTGTGAGGGTAGGCATTCAGCCAGGACGGGTTGTGGCCGCTCTTCACTCCAGGGCTCCTATCCGTCTCCACAGCCCGGTTCGGCCTGTCCCTGCTCCACGCACCAAGCCTACGGTGTGCGTCGCCAGCCCAGTCCGGCCAGTCCCTGCTCCACGCACCAAGCCTACGGTGTGCGTCGCCAGCCCGGTCCGGCCTGTCCCTGCTCCACGCACCAAGCCTACGGTGTGCGTCGCCAGCCCAGTCCGGCCAATCCCTGCTCCACGCACCAAGCCTACGGTGTGCGTCGACAGCCCAGCCCGGCCTGTCCCTGCTCCACGCACCAAGCCTACGGGGTGCGTCGCCAGCCCGGCCGGCCTGTCCCTGCTCCACGCACCAAGTCTAAGGTGCGCGTCGCCAGCCCGGCCCGGCCTGTTCCTGCCACTCGCACCAAGTCTACGGTGCGCGTCGCCAGCCCGGCCCGGCCTGTTCCTGCCACTCGCACCAAGTATACGGTGCGCGTCGCCAGCCCGGCCCGGCCTGTTCCTGCCACTCGCACCAAGTATACGGTGCGCGTCGCCAGCCCGGCCCGGCCTGTTCCTGCCACTCGCACCAAGCCAGGGGTGCGAGTCATCAGCCTGGTCCAGCCCGTTCCTGCTACTCGCACCAAGCCAGGGGTGCGAGTCGTCAGTCCGGTGAGGCCCGTTCCTGCTACTCGCACCAAGCCAGGGGTGCGAGTCGTCAGTCCGGTGAGGCCCGTTCCGGCTCCACGCACCAAGACAGGGGTGCGAGTCGTCAGTCCGGTGAGGCCCGTTCCGGCTCCACGCACCAAGCCAGGGGTGCGAGTCGTCAGTCCGGTGAGGCCCGTTCCGGCTCCACGCACCAAGCCAGGGGTGCGAGTCGTCAGTCCGGTGAAGCCCGTTCCGGCTCCACGCACCAGGCTAGGGGTGCGCATCGTCAGCCCGGTCTGGCCCGTTGCTGCTCCACGCACCAAGCCAGGGGTGCGCATCGTCAGCCCGGCACAACCCGTGCCTGGGTCATCGGTGCCAAATCAGGTACCGCTCAACTGCTCCACAACGGAGCTGAAGCTAGCCGCTCCTGCTACGTCCAGGTCAGCTCCAGCCAGCGGGGCCAGACCGGACCAGGGGCGCTATGGGGGGTTTATTGGAGGGTGGTGGGCAAGGCCGGAGCCAGAACCGCCGCCGAGGAGGTATGCCCACCCAGCCCTCCCCTGTTTTGCTCTTATTGAGGCGCGGTCGCAGTCCGCGCCTTTAGGGGGGGGTACTGTCACACCCTGGCTCTGGGACTCTATATGTTGAGCCAGGGTGTGTTCATTCTATGTGGTTTATTTCTATGTTGGGGGTTCTAGTTTGTCGTTTTCTATGTTTGCCTTAGTGACTCCCAATCAGAGGCAACGAGTGTCAGCTGTTGGCTGGTTGTCTCTGATTGGGAGCCATATTTAACTGTCTGTTTTTCACTTTGTGTTTGTGGGTTTTTGTTCCGTGTTCGGTCATTGTCACCGTGGACTTCACGAGTCGTTTCTTGTTTTGTATTTTGTTTGACACTTTAACTAATTAAAGTATGTTCGTTCAACACGCTGCGCATTGGTCTCTCCCTGACGATCGTGACAAATAGTGGTTCTGATTAACAGTCTGTCTGTGTTAGCGGAGTGGTGTGGAGTTTCACGGTTTACAATACTATCTCAATGGCTGCTGCTTTTTTTATGTTACAGTATTATGATTTTGAAATACACTTAACATCACCTGTCCTCTGTAGAAATGATCTATATATTAAGCTGTTGCTGAGATACAGTATATTTAAGCAATAAGGCCCAAGGAGGTGTGGTATATGGCCAATATACCACGGCTAAGGGATGTTCTTACGCACAACGCAACTTTGAGTGCCTGGATACAGCCCTTAGCCGTGGTATATTGGCAATATACCACAAACCCCAGAGGTGCCTTATTGCTATTATAACATAATTAGAGCAGTAAAATTAAATGTTTTGTCATATCCGTGGTATATGGTCTGATATACCACAGCTGTCAGCCAATCAGCATTCAGGGCTCGAATCACCCAGTTTATATTGAACTTTATTGCAAGAATCTAGTGTAGGCTGATATCACGTCCTAGCTTGGGTAGCCTGTAGGAGAACGTCATGCTCGCCTTCTCTGACTTTCCAATTTGTTTTGAAGTTTTGTCTCTTTATCTCCTCAAATTAAAGTCTCCAGTTGGACTCATCCAGGCTAAACTGTTTATATTTGCCCATCAAGCAGTCTTTCGATTGGTGCAGAGCCCTGAGCCTTGGCTGTTTTGACTGGGTGTCGGGTTGCATTAAGATCAGGACACCAAAACAAACCCTGCCTTTATTGCTTTGGATACATCCTTCCTTCCCCCAAAGACATCTATCTGTGCGCCCCCACAAAGACAATCATCGAAAAAGAAGAGAAGGAGACCAAAACGAGACCAAAGAAGAGTGCGAGCCTCGACCATACACCCACCCAGATATCGAAGACCAGCTCGAGAAGGTCTCTTCTATCGCGACTCCGAGTTATCTCTCTCTCTCTCTCATCTCTCTCTCTCTCTTCTCGCTCTTCTCCCCCTCCTCTCCTCCTCTCTCTCTCTCTCCCTCTCTCTCTCTCTCTCCTCTCTCTCTTCTCCATCTAATGAAGCAGGCTAGCGTTAGCTCAGCCTCTGGTAAGGGTCAGCATGCATTTCAGCACAGGGCTCAAGGAAGAGATTATCTGCTGGTTGACGGCTTTTGGTTTTGAGCCATCCGCTCTCACAGTCGCACTGATCTTGATGTGATACAGATGTGTCAACATGCTACTGTGTTAGCCTGCTACTGTCATAATGGATATACAGGAGCTGGTTTGAACTGATGCCTCATGAAAAACCAGTAGGTCACACTGTGAAAGGCTCATCCCTATATTCCAGGTAAAGCGTCAGGGGAGAGACATTTCACACATCTGTGAAAACCCAGTCAGAGCAAGGCCTGAGCCAGCGACCGTTTGCTGTCGGTTTCCAAACTGACTGGATGTTCACACTCTTGTTTTACCTCCTCGTACTCCTCCTCCTCTTCCTCCCTTCCTCTTCCTCCTTTCAGCGTTGAGTCCCTGGATGTCAGGATTCTCTCGTCCCGGAGTGAAGGACTTTTCCCAGCTGACCCTTGACCTGACCAGAAACCAGCTCATTGTGGGAGCCAGGTGAGATACACGCACACGCACAAACCCAAGCATACACACACACACACACACAGACCACCTATTTTTAGATGTACACACACACACACACACACATCCAACACAACAGACTTTTGCTTGTTTTTTACTAACGTAGAATATGCCATCATGTTGGTTAGAACTCTGTCTCTTCTATCTTCAGAAATCACCTCTTCAGACTGAGTCTCAGTAATGCTTCTCTCTTACAGGTAAGCAGTTCACAGCTCTCCATTCTCCCACTATTATTTCATACCACATTACTTTCATTCTTCCAAATGGTAGCTAGGCAACGATACAGTTTGTTGAAATGGTAGAAGAGACCAGACACATCAGAGTAACTGTTGGCCAGTAGGGGCCGTTCCTTAGCCTAGCGGGGGAGCGGGGGGGCAGGAATGTCAACACTCTGGGGGTTTACTGGGCCAGATTGGTGTTTACCAGTAACATCACACAGGAACGGGATCTACCCAGCTACCTTTACTCTGCCGCCTCACTCTCAAATTGCACCCCCTCTCTCAATTCAAATTCAATTTCAATTTAAGGGCTTTAATGGCATGGGAAACGCATGTTAACATTGCCAAAGCAAGTGAAGTAGATAGTAAACAAAAGTGAAATAAACAATAAATATTAACAGTAAACATTACACTCAGAAGTTCCAAAAGAATAAAGACATTTCAAATGTCATATTATGTATATATACAGTGTTGTAACAATGTGCAAATAGTTAAAGTACAAATGGGAAAATAAACATAAATATGGGTTGTATTTACAATGGTGTTTGTTCTTCACTGGTTGTCCTTTTCTTGTGGCAACAGGTCACACATCTTGCTGCTGTGATGGCACACTGTGGTTTTTCACCCAGTAGATAAGGTAGTTTATTAAAATTGGGTTTGTTTTCGAATTATTTGTGGATCTCTGTAATCTGAGGGAAATATGTGTCTCTAATATGGTCATACATTTGGCAGGAGGTGCAGCTCAGTTTCCACCTCATTTTGTGGGCAGTGTGCACATAGCCTGTCTTCTCTTGAGAGCCAGGTCTGCCTACGGCGGCCTTTCTCAATAGCAAGGCTATGCTCACTGAGTCTGTACATAGTCAAGGCTTTCCTTAAGTTTGGGTCAGTCACAGTGGTCAGGTATTCTGCCACTGTGTACTCTCTGTTTAGTGCCAAATAGCATTCTAGTTTGCTCTGTTTTTTTGTTAATTCTTTCCAATGTGTCAAGTAATTCTCTTTTTGTTTTCTCATGATTTGGTTGGGTCTAATTGTGTTGTTGTTGTTGTCCTGGGGCTCTGTGGGGTCTGTTTGTGTTTGTGAACAGAGCCCCAGGACCAGCTTACTTAGGGGACTCTTCTCCAAGTTCATCTCTCTGTAGGTGATGGCTTTGTTATGGAAGGTTTGGGAATCGCTTCCTTTTAAGTGGTTATAGAATTTAACGTCTCTTTTCTGGATTTTGATAATTAGCGGGTATTGGCCTAATTCTGCTCTGCATGCATTATTTGGTGTTTTTCGTTGTACACAGAGGATATTTTTGCAGAATTCTGCATGCAGAGTCTCAATTTGGTGTTTGTCCCATTTTGTGAATTCTTGGTTGGTGAGCGGACCCCAGACCTCACTACCATAAAGGGCAATGGGTTCTATAACTGATTCAAGTATTTTTTGCCAGATCCTAATTGGTATGTCAAATTTTATGTTCCTTTTGATGGCATAGAAGGCCCTTCTTGCCTTGTCTCTCAGATCGTCCACAGCTTTGTGGAAGTTACCTGTGGCACTGATGTTTAGGCCGAGGTATGTATAGTTTTTTGTGTGCTCTAGGGCAACGGTGTCTAGATGGAATTTGTATTTGTGGTCCTGGCAACTGGACCTTTTTTGGAACACCATTATTTTTGTCTTACTGAGATTTACTGTCAGGGCCCAGGTCTGACAGAATCTGTGCAGAATATCTAGGTGCTGCTGTAGGCCCTCCTTGGTTGGTGACAGAAGCACCAGATCATCAGCAAACAGTAGATATTTTACTTCAGATTCTAGTAGGGTGAGGCCGGGTGCTGCAGACTGTTCTAGTGCCCTCGCCAATTCGGATATATATATATATATATAAAGGGGGTGGTTGTCCCACTGGCTATCCTAAGTTGAATGCACCAATTTGTAAGTCACTCTGGATAAGAGTGTCTGCTAAATGACTTAAATGTAAATATGTTGAAGAGGGTGGGGCTTAAACTGCATCCCTGTCTCACCCCACGGCCCTGTGGAAAGAAATGTGTATGTTTTTTGCCAATTTCAACCGCACACTTGTTGTTTGTGTACATGGATTTTATAATGTCGTATGTTTTTCCCCCAACCCCACTTTCCATCAATTTGTATAGCAGACCCTCATGCCAAATTGAGTCAAAAGCTTTTTTGAAATCAACAAAGCATGAGAAGACTTTGCCTTTGTTTTGGTTTGTTTGTTTGTCAATTAGGGTGTGCAGGGTGAATACGTGGTCTGTCGTATGGTAATTTGGTAAAAAGCCAATTTGACATTTGCTCAGTACATTGTTTTCACTGAGGAAATGAACTAGTCTGCTGTTAATGATAATGCAGAGGATTTTCCCAAGGTTGCTGTCCTTGCGTATCCCACGGTAGTTATTGGGGTCAAATTTGTCTACACTTTTGTGGATTGGGGTGATCAGTCCTTGGTTCCAAATATTGGGGAAGATGCCAGAGCTAAGGATGTTAAAGAGTTTTATAGCCAATTGGAATTTGTGGTCTGTATATTTTATCATTTCATTGAGGATACCATCAACACCACAGGCTTTATTGGCATGGGAAACATGTGTTTACATTGCCAAAGCAAGTGAAATAGTTAGTATACAAAAGTAAAATGAACAATACAAAAATGAACAGTAAACATCACACTCACAAATGTTACAAAATAATAAAGACATTTCAAATGTCATATTTTGTGCAAATAGTTAAAGTACAAAAGGGAAAATAAATAAACATAATCTGTCTGTTTATCTGTCACGCCCTGGCCTTGAGAGACCGGTTTTCTTTAGTTGGTTTGGTCAGGGTGTGAATTTCTATGTGTATGATCTAGATATTCTAGTTCTATGTTGGCCGGGTGTGGTTCCCAATCAGAGGCAGCTGTCGATCGTTGTCTCTGATTTGGGGATCATACTTAGGCAGCCATGTTGCCTACCTATGTTGTGGGATCTTGTTTCTGTGTGTTTGACTTGTTTGATGTTAGCCTGTAGAATTTCACGTTGCTTTTGTTCAGTGTTTATTCTATAAACGAACATGTACGCATACCATGCTGCACCTTGGTCCAATCCTGTACTCAACGAACGTGACATTGTCTGTCTGTCTGTCTGTCTGTCTGTCTGTCTGTCTGTCTGTGTCTTTCTTTCTTTCCCTCCCCTGATCCCTACTCTGTCATTGCTAAATGGATGTCCATAGAGCTGTTGATCAATTTGATGTCAGTCATGAACTTTCAGTCAGATTTGTCCTGAGGGTCACGTCATTGCTTTCTTGGGATAATACCCATCAAATGTCTCCCTAAAATCAATCGGAATAAGCTGTTTTGGAACTGTCACTGTGCTGCAGAATGCACAAATGTCTGCCTGTCCATTCGTCCGTCTGTCTGTCTTGGGGATTTTATAAATATATTATATCTCTTACAATGGCTCCTTGATATGTCATTAACTGTATGAATTGCTTTTCATCAGTATACAACTGAAGGACATACTGTGAATATTACAAAGAACCTCTCTCCTTTAATGATATGATTGGAGCGTTTTTTCCCTACGAATTATGATCCATTTGTACCCATGGATACAAGGGACTATGATTTTATTTGGAAGTTCAAGGATGACTACATATAACATATATAATTTATTACAAGGCTATTTTACAATTTCAATATACAGATGTAGGATCTTAATTTGATCACCCTTTTGCAGGAGAACTTGTAGTGTATTTGAGGTTTAAAAAGGCTTCTGAAGTTTGTAATTTCCCACTTTGAAAGAGTTAGGTTTAAAATCTGATTTTATGACTTTGTGGCTGTGCCAGCTAGTGACCAATCAGCAGCGATGCCTCCAGAACAAGATTCATGATGAAAAACGCTAATATGCTACAAAAATGGGCATTAATTATAATCCACATAATAATTCAAATTTCCTGTTGCTGCAGGATTTTTTTCCTGCTGTAGCAAACTGGCTCAAATTAAGATCCTATATCTGTACCACTATCGCCAAATGTTAAAATGTTAAACGTGCCTTAAAAAAGTACTGAACTATGAAAAGGTGTGAAAAAATGTAGACAGTATACATCCAGGTACGTAAGGAGTGTCCTCGAACAATAAAGCCACTGACTGTCTCAATAAAAGTCTCATATCATTCATCAGTGCTACACTGAATGAACGGACAAGGAGCAGGCTGGGGGAGGGAGGGACATGTGTGACTTTGGAGGCCCTGGTCGGCCTATCAGAGCAAGCGAACCATGAATGACACCTCTGAGAACCAACTCCTTAATCGACCACTGCACCAGAGGACACAATGGCATTATGCAAACACAGGGAAGGGTTTTCAGTTTGGTCATTCATTCACGCTGATCTTTAGAAGTAAATTTGGGAGCTCCGTTGTCAGGGGTGACTGAGGGAAAGACTTGGTGGGAGTGGGAGTGAGTTTAGCAGTGAGCTTTCACGAGGCTGAGGCTGGTTTCAGTGGCTCCATAGTAAAGCACAGTGAAAGGCTACAGTAGACTGTAAGGTGTGTCAGTGGAAGGACTCCTCTTCAGTTTGAGGGTCTGACAGATATATTGGTTTTATAGGAAATAGGAAATAGTTTGTGCAGGCCAGCATTGTAATGGTAGGACACACACCGATTTATTTATCAGCTATTTTAGTTAAATTAAATTGCAGTCTTGGGCAATTTTGGGCCTTCAGATGTGCACAAAATTGTATTTACTACGTTTGTTTACACTGATATTTATGGTGTAAACAAACCTTGATTTTGCAGTTTCAGACAGTTTACCAGAACTATAATAACATTTGTCCCCAAGAAATGAGGTGCTGCTCTATTGAAAATTCTGATTCTGCTTTTCAATCACTCAGCTTTCTTCACCACAATGAAATTGTATGAACAGAGATTACAGTTGAATCATATACTATTCTTATGCCAGATTACTCAGACATTTGTCACTTACTGAACCCAAAACACTATTCTGCAACGTTCCTAGAAAGTTATATGCAAAATAACCATAGGGGAACCACGTGCAAATGTTGTTAGAACATTTTGTGCTAGCTGGATGACGTGTTTTTGTTTTGCCCTGTGGTCAAGATCCAATGGTTGTAGCCATGGTGATTAGACTGGCGTGATTGAGTTGGTGGGAGTAGCCATGGTGATTAGACACTTGTGATTGAGTTGGGGGGAGTAGCCATGGTGATTAGACTGGTGTGATTGAGTTGGGGGGAGTAGCCATGGTGATTAGACACTTGTGATTGAGTTGGGGGGAGTAGCCATGGTGATTAGACACTGGTGATTGAGTAGGGGGGAGTAGCCATGGTGATTAGACTGGAGTGATTGAGTTGGGGGGAGTAGCCATGGTGATTAGACTGGAGTGATTGAGTGGGGGGAGTAGCCATGGTGATTAGACTGGAGTGATTGAGATGGGGGAATCAGTGTAGCTCAGTTGGTAGAGCATGGCGCTTGCAACGCCAGGGTTGTGGGTTCGATTCCCACGGGGGGCCAGTATGAAAAATGTATGCACTCACTAACTGTAAGTCGCTCTGGATAAGAGCGTCTGCTAAATGACTAAAATGTCAAATGTAAATGTAACGTCATATGTCTTGCATTAGCTGTGCAAGTGTGCAAACAACAATTCATAGTTAACAGTATACATGCATTATACACTACATTGCCAAAAGTATGTGGACACCTGCTCGTCAAACATCTCATTCCAAAATCATGGACATTAATATGGAGTTGGTCCCCCCCCCTTTGCTGCTATAACAGCCTACACTTTTCTGGGAAGGCTTTCCACTAGATGTTGGAACATTGCTGTGGGGACTTGCTTCCATTCAGCCACAAGAGCATTAGGGAGGTCAGGCACTGATGTTGGGCAATTAGGCCTGGCTCGCAGTCGGCGTTCCAATTCATCCCAAAGGTGTTTGATGGGGTTGAGGTCAGGGCTCCGTGCAGGCCAGTCAAGTTCTTCCACACCGATCTCAACAAACCATTTCTGTATGGACCTCGCTTTGTGCACAGGGCATTGTCATGCTGAAACAGGCTTTCACCAAACTGTTGCCACAAAGTTGGAAGCACAGAATCGTCTAGAATGTCATTGAATGCTGTAGCGTTAAGATTTTCCTGCACTGGAACTAAGGGGCCTAGCCCGAACCATGAAAAACAGCCTCAGAACATTATTCCTACTCCACCAAACTTTACAGTTGGCATAATGCATTCAGGTAGGTAGCGTTCTCCTGGCATCTGCCAAACCCAGATTTGTCCGTCAGACTGCCAGATGGAAGCGTGATTCATCACTCCAGAGAACGCGTTTCCACTGCTGCAGAGTCCAATGGCGGCGTGCGCATGGTGATCTTAAGCTTGTGTGCGGCTGCTCGGCCATGGACGCCCATTTGATGAAGCTCCCGACAAATAGTTATTGTGCTGACGTTGCTTCCAGAGGCAGTTTGTCTATGGAGATTGCATGGCTGTGTGCTCAATTTTATACACCTGTCATCAACGGGTGTGGCTGAAATAGCCGAATCCACTAATTTGAAGGGGTGTCCACATACATTTGGCCAGTGTATGTATAATAGTATATACAGTACATATCCCATACTAAGTCTGATTTAGCAAGGATCCAATCTACACATTCTGTCCACGTTATTGTGCACACGTTTATGTCATCTTTCTGCGTCATTTTCTTCTCTAGGCAGTAGAATGGGGACCAGATGACGACACCAAGCGGTCGTGTCAGAGCAAAGGAAAGACAGAGGTATTGTAGCTGTCTGGCAGTTCTGGAATATTTACATAGAGAAAGACAGACAACTGGTAGAGTTCTACATTAAAGGGGCTGCCCTCACAATATATATTTATATAGAGAAAGACAGACGTATGGTAGAGTTCTACATTAAAGAGGATGCCCTCACAAGAGATATTTAGATAGGGGGCCAGTAACTTCAATGAAGTGTAATAGAAGCTGTAATACCCTAGTACAGGAATAAATTAACATAGACCATTGTATGGTGTGTTATGACATCTTTGACCTTTGACCTCCTGTGTTCCCGTCCCCACAGGATGAGTGTCAGAACTACATCCGGGTCCTGCTCATCACTGGGAGGCGGATCTTCACCTGTGGAACCAACGCCTTTACCCCCGTCTGCACCACCCGACAGGTGAGAGAGATAGGGAGAGGGGGATGAGAGAGGAGTAACAGAGGAGAGGGGGATGAGAGAGGAGTAACAGAGGAATAAGGGAAGGAGAAGGGGATGAGAGAGGGGAGAGGTAAGGATGAGATAGGAGAGTGGGGATTGAGAAGGAGTAACAGAGGATAGAAGACGAGAGGGGGATGAGAGATGAGTAACCTGGAGAGGAGAGGTGGGGGTTGTGGTGAGGAGTAACAGAGGAGGGAGAGGGGGATGAGAGAGGAGTAACAGAGGGGGAGAGGGAGAGGGGGGGGGGGGGGGAGGGAGGGGGTGAGAGAGAGTAACAGAGGAGGGAGAGGGAGATGAGAGAGGAGTAACAGAGGAGGGAGAGGGAGATGAGAAGGAGGAGGGGAGGGGGATGAGGGGAGTCAGAGGAGGGAGAGACGAGAGGGTAACAGAGGAGAGGAGAGGGGGGATTGAGGAGAGAGAGTAACAGAGGTGGAGGTGAGAGGGATTGAGAGAGAGTAACAGAAGGTAAGAGGGGATGAGAGAGGAGTAACAGAGGAGGGAGAGATGAGGAGGATATAGTAACAGAGGAGGGATAGTGTGTATTATAGGTAGTAACAGAAAAAGCAGGTATCACTCTCTCCTCTCTGACATGGCTGTGTTTGAGAGCATCAATCCTTCTCAGTCACTGATCACCGACTGAGCAGATTGACTGATCTACAAATAACTGCATCCTGAATAACTCATTATATGATCAGTGAGCATTTACCCAATGAAGTCGGTTACGACGCCGAATTGCAGGCAGGTCAAGACCCTGGTGAGGACGACGAGCACGCAGATGCGCTTCCATGACATTTACATTTACATTACATTTTAGTCATTTAGCAGACGCTCTTATCCAGAGCGACTTACAGGAGCAATTAGGGTTAAGTGCCTTGCTCAAGGGCACATTTACGTCATTTAGCAGCAACGCTCTTAACCAGAGCGACTCACAAATTGGTGCATTCACCCTATAAGCCAGTGGGATACCACTTTACAATTTTTTTTTTGGGGGGGGGGTAGAAGGATTACTTTATCCTATCCCAGGTATTCCTTAAAGAAGTGGGGTTTCAAATGTCTCCGGAAGGTGGTGAGTGACTCCGCTGTCCTGGCGTCGTGAGGGAGCTTGTTCCACCATTGGGGTGCCAGAGCAGCGAACAGTTTTGACTGGGCTGAGCGGGAACTATGCTTCCGCAGAGGAAGGGGAGCCAGCAGGCCAGAGGTGGATGAACGCAATGCCCTCGTTTGGGTGTAGGGACTGATCAGAGCCCGAAGGTACAGAGGTGCCGTTCCCCTCACTGCTCCATAGGCAAGCACCATGGTCTTGTAACGGATGCGAGCTTCAACTGGAAGCCAGTGGAGTGTGCGGAGGAGGGGGGTGACGTGAGAGAACTTGGGAAGGTTGAACACCAGACGGGCTGCGGCGTTCTGGATGAGTTGTAGGGGTTTAATGGCACAGGCAGGGAGGCCAGCCAACAGCGAGTTGCAGTAATCCAGACGGGAGATGACAAGTGCCTGGATTAGGACCTGTGCCGCTTCCTGTGTAAGGCAGGGTCGTACTCTCCGAATGTTGTAGAGCATGAACCTGCAGGAGCGGGTCACCGCCTTGATGTTAGCGGAGAACGACAGGGTGTTGTCCAGGGTCACGCCAAGGCTCTTCGCACTCTGGGAGGAGGACACAACGGAGTTGTCAACCGTGATGGCGAGATCATGGAACGGGCAGTCCTTCCCCGGGAGGAAGAGCAGCTCCGTCTTGCCAGGGTTCAGCTTGAGGTGGTGATCCGTCATCCATACTGATATGTCTGCCAGACATGCAGAGATGCGATTCGCCACCTGGTTATCAGAAGGGGGAAAGGAGAAGATTAGTTGTGTATCGTCAGCGTAGCAATGATAGGAGAGGCCATGAGAGGATATGACAGAGCCAAGTGACTTGGTGTATAGGGAGAAAAGGAGAGGGCCTAGAACTGAGCCCTGGGGGACACCAGTGGTGAGAGCACGTGGTGCGGAGACAGCTTCTCGCCACGCCACTTGGTAGGAGCGACCGGTCAGGTAGGACGCAATCCAGGAGTGAGCCGCGCCGGAGATGCCCAGCTCGGAGAGGGTGGAGAGGAGGATCTGATGGTTCACAGTATCAAAGGCAGCAGACAGGTCTAGAAGGACAAGAGCAGAGGATGAGACGGTTTCTGACAGTCTATGCAGAAATTCTTCGGTTGTGCACATTCACAGTTTCATCAGCTGGCTGGCTGGCTGGTCTCAGAAGATCCTGCAGGTGAAGAAGCCGGATGTGGGCTGGCATGGTTACACGTGGTCTGCAGAGGCCAAAAACGACATCGGAGGGGGCTTATGGTAGAGAAATGAACATTAAATTCTCTGGCAATGGCTCTGGTGGACATTCCTGCAGTCAGCATGCCAATTGCAATTCCCTCAAAACTTGAGACATCTGTGGCATTGTGTTTTTATTGTACCCAGCACAAGGTGCACCTGTGTAATGATCATGCTGTTTAATCAGCTTCTTGATATGCCACAACTGTCACGTGGATGGATTATCTTGGCATGGAGGAAATGTTTATAATACTGTTGTCGTTGTTTTGTTTTTTTTGGGGGGGGGGAATCTGTTCCCCAGTATCCCCACAAATAAAAAAAAGAGATGTGATCGTGTCTCAATGTAATCAAGGTATGAAATTATTGTTATTTTCAAATACAATCTTTTTTTGGGGCTTAGTTGTGGTCAATTTGCAATTTACATAAAATTCCGGTCCCCTGACATCCATTCCGACAAAATTCGTCCAGCAGCTGAATTGAGTTGCCTGCTCCAGGCATAATGGGACCCATCTCGTCCAAAAAGTTGACTCAAGTTTGCCAAAAAGCACCTGGATGATCATCAAGACTCTTCGAAGAACGTTCTATGGACAGATGATTCAAAAGTATAACTTTTTGGACGACATGGTTCCAGTAATGCCTGGCGAAAACCAAACACTGCATTCCACAGTAAGAACCTCATACCAAAGGTCAAGCATGGTGGTGGTGGTGTGATGGTTTGGGGATGCTTTGCTGCCTCAGGACCTGGACGACTTGCCTTAATAGCAGGAACCATGAATTCTACTCTGTATCAGAGAATTCTACAGGAGAATGTCAGACCATTAGTCTGTGAGCTGAAGCTGAAGCGCAGCTGGGTCATGCAGCAAGACAATGATCCAAAACACACAATCAAGTCTACATGAAAATTGCTAAAAAGCAACAAATTGGAAGTTTTGGAATGGCCTAGTCAAAGTCCAGACCTAATCCCAATTGAGATGTTGTGGAAGGACTTGAAACGAGCAGTTCATGCCTGAAAACCCACACGTCACTGAGTTAAAGCAGTTCTGCATGGAAGAGTGGGCCAAAATTCCTCCACAGCGACGTGAGAGACTGATCAACAACTACAGGAAGTATTTGGTTGGAGTCATTGCAGCTAAAGGTGGCACAACCAGTTATTGAGTGTAAGGGGGAAATTACTTTTTCACACAGGGGAATTGGGTTTGTTTATGAAATAAATTAAATAAATATGTACAGTGAGGGAAAAAAGTATTTGATCCCCTGCTGATTTTATACGTTTGCCCACTGACAAAGACATGATCAGGCTATCATTTTAATGGTAGGTTTATTTGAACAGTGAGAGACGGAATAACAACAACAAAATCCAGAAAAACGCATGTCAGAAATGTTATAAATTGATTTGCATTTTAATGAGGGAAATAAGTATTTGACCCCTCTGCAAAACATTACTTAGTACTTGGTGGCAAAACCCTTGTTGGCAATCACAGAGGTCAGACGTTTCTTGTAGTTTGCCACCAGCTTTGCACACATCTCAGGAGGGATTTTGTCCCACTCCTCTTTGCAGATCTTCTCCAAGTCATTAAGGTTTCGAGCCTGACGTTTGGCAACTCGAACCTTCAGCTCCCTCCACAGATTTTCTATGGGATTAAGGTCTGGAGACTGGCTAGGCCACTCCAGGACCTTAATGTGCTTCTTCTTGAGCCACTCCTTTGTTGCCTTGGCCGTGTGTTTTGGGTCATTGACATGCTGGAATACCCATCCACAACCCATTTTCAATGCCCTGGCTGAGGGAAAGAGGTTCTCACCCAAGATTTGACGGTACATGGCCCCGTCCATCGTCCCTTTGATGCGGTGAAGTTGTCCTGTCCCCTTAGCAGAAAAACACCCCCAAAGCATAATGTTTCCACCTCCATGTTTGACGGTGGGGATGGTGTTCTTGGGGTCATAAATAATAATAATATAATAATATGCCATTTAGCAGACGCTTTTATCCAAAGCGACTTACAGTCATGCGTGCATACATTTTTGTGTATGGGTGGTCCCGGGGATCGAACCCACTACCTTGGCGTTTCAAGCGCCGTGCTCTACCAGCTGAGCTACAGAGGACCACGGCAGCATTCTTCCTCCTCCAAACACGGCAAGTTGAGTTGATGCCAAAGAGCTCGATTTTGGTCTCATCTGATCACAACACTTTCACCCAGTTTTCCTCTGAATCATTCAGATGTTCATTGGCAAACTTCAGACGGGCCTGTATATGTGCTTTCTTGAGCAGGGGGACCTTGCGGGCGCTGCAGGATTTCAGTCCTTCACGGCGTAGTGTGTTACCAATTGTTTTCTTGGTGACTATGGTCCCAGCTGCCTTGAGATCATTGACAAGATCCTCCCGTGTAGTTCTGGGCTGATTCCTCACCGTTCTCATGATCATTGCAACTCCACGAGGTGAGATCTTGCATGGAGCCCCAGGCCGAGGGAGATTGACAGGTATTTTGTGTTTCTTCCATTTGCGAATAATCGCACCAATTGTTGTCACCTTCTCACCAAGCTGCTTGGCGATGGTCTTGTAGCCCATTCCAGCCTTGTGTAGGTCTACAATCTTGTCCCTGACATCCTTGGAGAGCTCTTTGGTCTTGGCCATGGTGGAGAGTTTGGAATCTAATTGATTGATTGCTTCTGTGGACAGGTGTCTTTTATACAGGTAACAAGCTGAGATTAGGAGCACTCCCTTTAAGAGTGTGCTCCTAATCTCAGCTCGTTACCTGTATAAGTGACATCTGGGTGCCAGAAATCTTTCTGATTGAGAGGGGGTCCAATACTTATTTCCCTCACTGTAATTGTTGTGTTATTTGTTCACTTATGTTCCCTTTATCTAATATTAGGTTTTGGTTGAAGATCTGATAACATTCAGTATCACAAATATGCAAAAGTAGAGAAAATTAGAAAGGGGGCAAATACTTTTTCATAGCACTGTAAATCTATCTAATCACCCTGTATCCTCACCCTTCTTCCATACTCTTCCAGATAGGAAACATCAGTAGAGTGATGGACACAGTGAACGGGGTGGCGAGATGCCCCTACGACCCGCGTCACAACTCCACTGCCATGGTAACAGAGAAGGGCGAACTCTACGCCGCCACTGTCATCGACTTCTCGGGTCGCGACCCCGTCATCTACCGTAGCCTTGGTAACATGCCGCCACTGCGAACAGCCCAGTACAACTCCAAATGGCTCAACGGTAAACATCCATCTGTACCATACACTCTTAGAAAAAAAGGTGCTATCTAGAACCTAAAAGGGTTCTTCAGTTGTCCCCATAGGATAACACTTTTTGGTTCCAGGTAGAACCCATTTGGTTCCAAGTAGAACCTTTTTAGGATCCATGTAGAAACCCTCTGTTCTACATGGAACCTAAAAGGGTTCTACCTATAACCAAATAGGGTTCTCCTATGGGGACAGCCGAAGAACCCTTTTGGAACCCTATGTTCTAAGAGTGTAGGAATAGAATTACAATTGGATCCTGACTGTACTTCCTTCTTTGCTTCCTGGTTATGGGTACATTCAATATGGCTGCCGGTCCACCCATCAGGGAACATGGACTTGATGGGATATTTCCATTCTAGTAATTATATTTCTATGCCAGTACATTACTGACAACAGCCAACTGTAACTGGCTAGAGGCTCTCCTTATGTTCTAACATTAAAGGAATTCTAGAGAATAAGTCATAATGCTAATAGGAAAGTGTAAGGAAGAGAAATCTACTGATTCCATGCCAAGAACATCATTGCTCACATTCCTGCCGCTGCATTAGCCGTTTGGAGCTGAAATACCACATCTCATGTCTAACTTACACCTTCCCTCCATCCCTCCCTATCTTTCTCTATTCCTCTCCTCCCTCCCTCTCCCTCCTTCCCTCCCCTTCTCCCTTCCTCTTCCTCCCCTCCCTCTCCCTCCTTCCATCCCCTTTTCCCTTCCTCCCCCCTCCCTCCTTCCCTCCTTCCCTCTCTCCTCCAGACCCTCACTTTATCTCAGTCTATGAGGTGGGTCTCTTCACCTATTTCTTCCTGAGAGAGAACGCGGTGGAACACGACTGCGGTCGGACCGTGTTCTCCCGGGTCGCCCGGGTCTGTAAGAACGACGTGGGCGGTCGCTTCCTATTGGAGGACACGTGGACCACGTTCATGAAGGCGCGGTTGAACTGCTCCCGGTCGGGAGAGATCCCCTTCTACTATAACGAGCTGCAGAGCACCTTCTATCTGCCCGAGCAGGACCTCATCTACGGCATCTTCACCACCAACGTGTGAGTGAGAGTGACACACGTGCACACACATACACACACACAGACACACACCTACACAGAATGGACACACACATTATCAGTCATACACACACAGGCACTTTTACATTTACATGTACAGTATAGATGTAGACACACACACATAGACACACATCTGCAAAACAACGTTTACTTTTCATAAGGAGGACCTTTAAAACAGCACCAATAAGTGAATGACACCAGTATTTAGTAGACACACACACACACACAACAGACACACAAGCACACTTACACACACCTTTATTCTCCATCTATCCAGTCCCACTTTGATTTATTCACTCTATTTACACATTGCTGTAACAGCATCCCGCTGAGGCTGAAGGTTTTACGGATGCTAAGAAACATATTACAACGGGACTCCAACCCAGCGAGGCAATCCTCTCGTAATTTCAAGCTGTCTGGACAAATGCTGAGAGGAGGGAAGTGAAAATCACTTCTAGAGTATTTTCTTCTCCTGTCTCTGTCTGTGTTGGTGGCCTTGGCTTAGCGACAGAGCAGAACCTTGTCTGGGAGAGACGCTTTAGTCTGCAGGAAGAATGGTGCTGGAGGATAACCAGTTAAGAACACTTCTGTGTGACTGTGAAACACTTCAATCGTTTTCAAACTCAAATGGTTGTGGAAATCGATTGCAGTGAACCATTTGTGTTAGTTAACCCTATCAGGTTTTGGGTTGCTGTCAGTCAGTCAGTCTGTCGGTCCTACTCTGTGCAAAGCCCAAAGCATAATATCCCGTCCAGAAGCCCCTCTGCCAGTGTGTAGTCCCATGTTCCTTATCCTTGGTCTGTTCAGAACCAACACCCAGAAGCCCCTCTCTAATAGCCTCAGTACCAGTAGTTATAACATACTATATTAGTGTCGTAGGCTTCTATCCCCTCTACCTCTCCTCCTAGACCCTGTTATTAACATGATGTAAACCTACACACTGCAGTACAGTCAGCCACAGTACAGTCAACTACAGTACAGTCAGCTACAGCAAACTACAGGACAGCCAGCTACAGTCAGCTACTGTCAGCTACAGTACAGCCAGATACAGTACAGTCAGATTCAGTACAGCCAGCTACAGGACAGTCAGCTACAGTACAGTCAGCTACAGTACAGCCAGCTACAGTACAGTCAGCTACAGTACAGTCAGCTACAGTACAGTCAGATACAGTACAGTCAGATACAGTACATTCAGCTACAGTCAGCTACAGTACAGTTAGATACAGTCAGCTACAGTACAGCCAGCTACAGTACAGTCAGATTCAGTACATTCAGCTACAGTCAGCTACAGTACAGTTAGATACAGTCGGCTACATTACAGCCAGCTACAGTACAGTCAGATACAGTCGGCTACATTACAGCCAGCTACAGTACAGTCAGATACAGTCGGCTACATTACAGCCAGCTACAGTACAGTTAGATACAGTCGGCTACATTACAGCCAGCTACAGTACAGTCAGATACAGTCAGCTACAGTACAGCCAGCTACAGTACAGTCAGATTCAGTACATTCAGCTACAGTCAGCTACAGTACAGTTAGATACAGTCGGCTACATTACAGCCAGCTACAGTACAGTCAGATACAGTCGGCTACATTACAGCCAGCTACAGTACAGTCAGATACAGTCGGCTACATTACAGCCAGCTACAGTACAGTTAGATACAGTCGGCTACATTACAGCCAGCTACAGTACAGTCAGATACAGTCAGCTACAGTACAGCCAGCTACAGTACAGTCAGATTCAGTCAGCTACAGTCAGCTACAGTACAGTCAGTTGCAGTACAGTCATACAGTACAGTCAGCTACAGTACAGTTAGATAAAGTCAGCTACAGTCAGATACAATACAGTCAGCTACAGTACAGTCAGATACAGTACAGTCAGCTACAGTACAGTTAGATACAGTACAGTCAGATTCAGTCAGCTACAGCCAGCTACAGTACAGTCAGATGCAGTACAGTCAAATACAGTACAGTCAGCTACAGTACAGTCAGATGCAGTACAGTCAAATACAGTACAGTCAGCTACAGTACTGCCAGCTACAGTACAGTTAGATACAGGCAGCTACAGTACAGTCAGATGCAGTACAGTCAAATACAGTACAGTCAGCTACAGTACAGTCAGCTACAGTACAGTCAGATGCAGTACAGTCAAATACAGTACAGTCAGCTACAGTACTGCCAGCTACAGTACAGTTAGATACAGGCAGCTACAGTACAGTCAGATACAGTACAGTCAGATTCAGTCAGCTACAGCCAGCTACAGTACAGTCAGATGCAGTACAGTCAAATACAGTACAGTCAGCTACAGTACAGTCAGCTACAGTACAGTCAGCTACAGTACAGTCAGATGCAGTACAGTCAAATACAGTACAGTCAGCTACAGTACTGCCAGCTACAGTACAGTTAGATACAGGCAGCTACAGTCAGATACAGTACAGTCAGATACAGTACAGTCAGATTCAGTCAGCTACAGTACAATCAGCTACAGTACAGTCAGCTATAGTACAGTCAGATACAGTACAGTCAGATTCAGTACATTCAGCTACAGTCAGCTACAGTACAGTTAGATACAGTCGGCTACATTACAGCCAGCTACAGTACAGTCAGATACAGTCGGCTACATTACAGCCAGCTACAGTACAGTCAGATACAGTCAGCTACAGTACAGCCAGCTACAGTACAGTCAGATTCAGTCAGCTACAGTCAGCTACAGTACAGTCAGTTGCAGTACAGTCATACAGTACAGTCAGCTACAGTACAGTTAGATAAAGTCAGCTACAGTCAGATACAATACAGTCAGATACAGTACAGTCAGCTACAGTACAGTCAGCTACAGTACAGTCAGCTACAGTACAGTCAGCTACAGTACAGTCAGCTACAGTACAGTCAGATACAGTACAGTCAGCTACAGTACAGTTAGATACAGTACAGTCAGCTACAGTACAGTTAGATACAGTACAGTCAGATTCAGTCAGCTACAGCCAGCTACAGTACAGTCAGATGCAGTACAGTCAAATACAGTACAGTCAAATACAGTACAGCCAGCTACAGTACAGTTAGATACAGTACAGTCAGATTCAGTCAGATTCAGTCAGCTACAGTACAGCCAGCTACAGTACAGTCAGATGCAGTACAGTCAAATACAGTACAGTCAGCTACAATACAGTCAGCTACAGTACAGTGAGATACAGTACTGCCAGCTACAGTACAGTTAGATACAGGCAGCTACAGTACAGTCAGATACAGTACAGTCAGATTCAGTCAGCTACAGCCAGCTACAGTACAGTCAGCTACAGTACAGTGAGATACAGGCAGCTACAGTCAGATACAGTACAGTCAGATACAGTACAGTCGGATACAGTACAGTCGGATACAGTACAGTCGGATACAGTACAGTCAGCTACAGTACAGTCAGATACAGTACAGTCAGATACAGTACAGTCAGATACAGTACAGTCGGATACAGTACAGTCGGATACAGTACAGTCGGATACAGTACAGTCAGCTACAGTACAGTCAGATACAGTACAGTACCCCTGTGCTTCCTTTCATACCTGTATTAATGGTCCTATTGAGAGAGAGAGCAGTGGTATCAGTTTGGGCCCATCTCACTGGCACAAGCACTCTTCTGTCTGAGGTCCACTTTGGGCTCACCCAGGGCAGAGCTAAAAGGCTTGTAAACTCTGAAGTATTGAGAAAGACATCTTATCCCAGTCGCACAGACAAAAGACAGGCTACAAGGCCTTCAAGCGATAGTGATCTCAGGTATCCTCCAGGGATAACAGATAGAAACTGTCTCTGAAATAACTTAGTGATGAAGATGTGGTGTGTCTTGATCTGTGCCTGGATCTTATCCGATTCTGAGGGTTTTACCATATAAATAGAATCTATAGAAAGGGCTTGGAACCTCTAACCCCGGCAATTTGACTGGTACATGGGTACACTCGCAATAGCTGCCAGTCCACCCATTATGCCATCATTGACTTGAATGTTCTATAGATTCTATTTCTACAAGTTTTGCCTTGTGTGTCGGTTGCAGTTCCTTTTCTACTTACCCTTTCACTCCTTTTACCAGTAAATACTTTGTCTGTTTTGTAGCTGAGAGGTTTGAATGACTATGAGGATTGTTTAAGGCGGCTGAGAGCACTGGAGCATTATCCAATTATTATCCAATTATGTGCCATATTACACCTTATATTCATAGTGATGATGACTATTATATAATTGATAGATAAATGTCTCTATATATTGTAGACATCATTACGCTCTCTTTTGAACTAAGAATATAAGAAGGTCTTACACATCAATTCAGTTCTTTATGAACAGTTTTTTCCTGTATCAAATAGGCTGCTGTATTTTTCCTGCTGATGTACATACAGTGAGGGGAAAAAAGTATTTGATCCCCTGCTGATTTTGTACGTTTGCCCACTGACAAAGACATGATCAGTCTATAATTTTAATGGTAGGTTTATTTGAACAGAATAACAACAACAAAAATCCAGAAAAACGCATGTCAAAAATGTTATAAATTGATTTGCATTTTAATGAGGGAAATAAGTATTTGACCCCTCTGCAAAACATGACTTAGTACTTGGTGGCAAAACCCTTGTTGGCAATCACAGAGGTCAGACGTTTCTTGTAGTTGGCCACCAGGTTTGCACACATCTCAGGAGGGATTTTGTTCCACTCCTCTTTGCTGATCTTTTCCAAGTCATTAAAGGTTTCGAGGCTGACGTTTGGCAACTCGAACCTTCAGATTTTCTATGGGATTAAGGTCTGGAGACTTGCTAGGCCACTCCAGGACCTTAATGTGCTTCTTCTTGAGCCACTCCTTTGTTGCCTTGGCCGTGTGTTTTGGGTCATTGTAATGCTGGAATACCCATCCACGGCCCATTTTCAATGCCCTGGCTGAGGGAAGGAGGTTCTCACCCAAGATTTGACGGTACATGGCCCCGTCCATCGTCCCTTTGATGCAGTGAAGTTGTCCTGTCCCCTTAGCAAAAAAACACCCCCAAAGCATAATGTTTCCACCTCCATGTTTGACGGTGGGGATGGTGTTCTTGGGGTCATAGGCAGCATTCCTCCTCCTCCAAACACGGCGAGCTCGATTTTGGTCTCATCTGACCACAACACTTTCACCCAGTTCTCCTCTGAATCATTCAGATGTTCATTGGCAAACTTCAGACGGGCCTGTATATGTGCTTTCTTGAGCAGGGGACTTTGCGGGCGCTGCAGGATTTCAGTCCTTCACGGCGTAGTGTGTTACCAATTGTTTTCTTGGTGACTATGGTCCCAGCTGCCTTGAGATCATTGACAAGATCCTCCCGTGTAGTTCTGGGCTGATTCCTCACCGTTCTCATGATCATTGCAACTCCACGAAGTGAGATCTTGCATGGAGCCCCAGGCCGAGGGAGATTGACAGTTATTTTGTGTTTCTTCCATTTGCAAATAATCGCACCAACTGTTGTCACCTTCTCACCAAGCTGCTTGGCGATGGTCTTGTAGCCCATTCCAGCCTTGTGTAGGTCTACAATCTTGTCCCTGACATCCTTGGAGAGCTCTTTGGTCTTGGCCATGGTGGAGAGTTTGGAATCTGATTGATTGATTGCTTCTGTGGACAGGTGTCTTTTATACAGGTAACAAACTGAGATTAGGAGCACTCCCTTTAAGAGTGTGCTCCTAATCTCAGCTCGTTACCTGTATAAAATACATCTGGGAGCCAGAAATCTTTCTGATTGAGAGGGGGTCAAATACTTATTTCCCTCATTAAAATGCAAATCAATTTATAACATTTTTGACATGTGTTTTTCTGGATTTTTGTTGTTGTTATTCTGTCTCTCACTGTTCAAATAAACCTACCATTAAAATGATAGACTGATAATTTCTTTGTCAGTGGGCAAACGTACAAAATCAGCAGGGGATCAAATACTTTTTTCCCTCACTGTACAAAGGGCTTTATAAATACATTTGATGGATTGGATTGAAAAAAGTGGAGGGCGCTCAACCAACGTGAGTTGTGGTGCAACCCAAAAATGTGATCATCATTGAAAAGGAAAAGGCACAACGCTCACCGTTAAAAACAGCATTGATTGATTCACTGCCATGGCCTCTGAGTCACGGTTTCCTTACGTCTCCTCCTAACAGGAACAGCATCTCTGCGTCGGCTGTGTGTGCGTTCAACCTCAGCGCCATCACCCAGGCTTTCAACGGACCGTTCCGTTATCAGGAGAACCCTCGTACCAGCTGGCTCTCCACCCCCAACCCCATCCCCAACTTCCAGGTAGGGGACTATCCAAAGTCTAGTGTCTGGTCTTATTTTCTACTAGATTCCTTATTTCACTGCTTCCCAGCCCTCTACTCGGGGACCAAAATGTTTCACATAAGTCTTGTAGCTCTGAAATAGCACACCTGATTCCACTAGTCATGACTCAAATGAGCCTTTCATCACACCTCATTCCACTAGTCAATGACTCAAATGATCCTTTCATCAAGCTCCACCCTGTGATCTCTGTTTATTGCAAAATAAATCAGTATAATTTAGGAAACGAATCAAAAAGTTGTCCTTCCCTGTCCCCCTTGTCTGTCCCCTCAGTGTGATACCCTGGAGGAGCGTGGTCCAGGGGAGAACCAGACGGAGCGCAGCCTGCAGGACGCCCAACGTCTCTTCCTCATGTCTGACGTGGTGCAGCCCGTCTCCACCGACCCCCTCCTGCACCAGGACAACATCCGCTTCTCCAAGCTGGTGGTGGACATCGTGCAGGGCCGAGACACCCTCTACCACGTCATGTACATTGGCACTGGTGAGTCAACGGGAGGGAGGGAGGAAGGGAGGAGGGAGGGAGGGAAACGGAAGCTAGATGTCTCATTTTGTCTGTTTGTCCAATAAGAATACGGCACCATCCTGAAGGCCCTCTCCACGACCAATAAGAGCCTGCGGGGGTGTTACCTGGAGGAGATGAGGCTCCTCCCCGAGGGCGAAAGTGAGCCAATCAGGAGCCTTCAAATCCTCCACAGCGATAGGTCGTTGTTTGTGGGGCTGAGCGACAGGGTGCTGAAGATCCCACTGGAAAGATGCTCCAGCTACAAAACTGAACGGTAAGAAGACCATTCCCACACACCCTCTTCAATACCCCACCACTTAAAAGGCTGCAGTTCAATCAAAACCTGCGTTTGCAATGTTTACAAAGTGTCTTTGTTTATAAACTACTTCCTGTACACTTCTTCTGGAAAATGGATCTACTGGTGAGGGCAAAGTCCAGAAGATCACAATAATATTCTATCAGTATTCTACTCGAGGCTAATCATCTTAGTGACAGTTAATTGGAAAGAAGCCAAATCTTCTGCCCTCCAGCCTAGCAGGGTCTGACTGATCCAGACAGGAAGTAGTCAAGTGCAGGAAGGGTGGCGTTATGACTATTATGACTACTGATATATGAGGTCTCCTACACCCCACAGCCCCCCGTAGCTTCCACAGGACCTCAGACACACAATGATATCACACCTTACTGTACAGTATGAAGAATGGTGGTGTTATGACTAGAATGATGTCTCACCTTACTGTACAGTATGAAGAATGGTGGTGTTATGACTAGAATGATGTCTCACCTTACTGTACAGTATGAAGAATGGTGGTGTTATGACTAGAATGATGTCTCACCTTACTGTACAGTATGAAGAATGGTGGTGTTATGACTATAATGATGTCTCACCTTACTGTACAGTATGAAGAATGGTGGTGTTATGACTATAATGATGTCTCACCTTACTGTACAGTATGAAGAATGGTGGTGTTATCACTATAATGATGTCTCACCTTACTGTACAGTATGAAGAATGGTGGTGTTATGACTAGAATGATGTCTCACCTTACTGTACAGTATGAAGAATGGTGGTGTTATCACTATAATGATGTCTCACCTTACTGTACAGTATGAAGAATGGTGGTGTTATCACTATAATGATGTCTCACCTTACTGTACAGTATGAAGAATGGTGGTGTTATCACTATAATGATTACTGATATATAAGGTTTCTTACACTCCTGTAGCTTCCATAGGTTCCACTTCCTGTCCACCTCTAACAGCCAATGCCACGACACTTCACAATACATACACAGTGTTATGAATACTGATATATGTGGTTTAATATATATTAATTCTAAATGAAATTGAGAAAAAATGATTGGCCTAGACTAAATTATTCAAAATTCTAATTAACTTGGTTGGAGGCAATTGTTCTCATTTCCTGTGTAATTTATCTCACCTGTGGTAGGTTGCAGGTGCCTGCTGGGTAAAAATAGCAATTGAACGAGTTTTGAAAAGAAAAAACAGCTCATTCTACTCAATTGCACTCCTTTTGTAAAGTGCAATGTGCCAACATTTGAGCACATCAGTAAGTAACCAATCCAGCTGAGGCTTCCTGTAATTACATTTGACCTCTCCTATTGGTTGGATCCCTGCTAGCTCCTTGTGAACACTGCCCTCTGTCTCTCCCGGTGCTAGTGGGGAAGAAACTAATTTCCTCTGGTTCTGGCGGCAGACTGGAGCCAGTAGGCTGGGCTAGCAGTCTGGGACGGTGTTGCAATGCCAGCAGAGGTTTTCTGTGCGATCCATCATGCTCACCTGTCAGAAGAAGAAGAAGGAAGAGGGGAACAGGAAATAAATACAGTCAGGGAAAGAGAGCGAGGGTTGTTGTTGTGAGAAAAAGAGTGAACTGACCAGCTCCCTAACTGACTGGACATAGATGGATGTTAACGTTAATGGCATCCCATTACTGCAATAGATTAAGTAGTTGGAATGGTGATTGCATGTATCCTACCCCTATTTTACATACCATCCTGTGTAATAACATATCAGGATGAAATGTAATATCATGTATATTATATGCTATAATATTGGGAGGGGGAGAATAATTGTGTATTTCATATTGATGGGGATGGTGCCACAGGACTGTATAGAAACCTCTGTTACAGTCTCAGACAGTAACCTTCAGTGCAGTCAGCTAAACACCATGTCAGGAACCACCTAGCCTAGCCACTCCCTTCCAACCCCATGTCAGGAACCACCTAGCCTAGCCACTCCCTTCCAACCCCATGTCAGGAACCACCTAGCCTAGCCACTCCCTTCCAACCCCATGTCAGGAACCACCTAGCCTAGCCACTCCCTTCCAACCCCATGTCAGGAACCACCTAGCCTAGCCACACCATTCCAACCCCATGTCAGGAACCACCTAGCCTAGCCACACCATTCCAACCCCATGTCAGGAACCACCTAGCCTAGCCACTCCCTTCCAACCCCATGTCAGGAACCACCTAGCCTAGCCACTCCCTTCCAACCCCATGTCAGGAACCACCTAGCCTAGCCACTCCCTTCCAACCCCATGTCAGGAACCACCTAGCCTAGCCACTCCCTTCCAACCCCATGTCAGGAACCGCCTAGCCACACCCTTCCAACACCATGTCAGGAACCACCTAGCCTAGCCACTCCCTTCCAACCCCATGTCAGGAACCACCTAGCCTAGCCACCATTCCAACCCCATGAACCCCAATGTGCCCCAGGTTACATTTTCTCTCGCTGCGTGTGGAGACATTTCGGCTCTACAGATCAGAGTTACGAGCTGCGTGTGGAGACATTTCGCTCTACAGACCAGGGTTACGAGCCACGTGTGGAGACATTTAGGCTCTACAGACCAGGGTTACGAGCTGTGGGTTATTTGTTTTATAGTTCTGAAAGAAACTGTTTCCTTCCCTCCCCCTAAGGATAAATAATCACAGTAATACACTTGGCAAATTGCAATATTAGTGGCTTGACTTGCAGCCACACAGGGAAACATTGTATTACATGCATAATGGATGAGAGAGAGCCCTATCTTACTGTGTAGTAGCTATAATACTATAATCTATGGTAGTTATCGGCCAAGTGGGTTTAGCTAGTGTGTTAGGCTCTTAATATCTCAAAGAGCTCCTTGGTTACCTTCTGTATAGCAGAACTGTGAGGGGAGTAGAATGGGGAAGTGGTTAACTGTGAGGAGAGTAGAATGAAGAAGTGGTTAACTGTGAGGAGAGTTAACAGCGAGAGAAAATGTTGTTCTCCGCTAACATCAAGGCGGTGACCCGATCCTGTAGGTTCATGCTCTACAACATTCGGAGAGTACGACCCTGCCTTACACAGGAAGCGGCACAGGTCCTAATCCAGGCACTTGTCATCTCTCGTCTGGATTACTGCAACTCGCTGTTGGCTGGGCTCCCTGCCTGTGCCATTAAACCCCTACAACTCATCCAGAATGCCGCAGCCCGTCTGGTGTTCAACCTTCCCAAGTTCTCTCACGTCACCCCGCTCCTCCGCACACTCCACTGGCTTCCAGTTGAAGCTCGCATCTGCTACAAGACCATGGTGATTGCCTACGGAGCTGTGAGGGGAACGGCACCTCCATACCTTCAGGCTCTGATCAGTCCCTACACCCAAACGAGGGCATTGCGTTCATCCACCTCTGGCCTGCTGGCCCCCCTACCTCTGCGGAAGCACAGTTCCCGCTCAGCCCAGTCAAAACTGTTCGCTGCTCTGGCACCCCAATGGTGGAACAAGCTCCCTCATGACGCCAGGACAGCGGAGTCACTCACCACCTTCCGAAGACGCTTGAAACCCCACCTCTTTAAGGAATACCTGGGATAGGATAAAGTAATCCTTCTACCCCCCCTTACCCCACCCCACCCCCCAAAAAAAACATATTGTAAAGTGGTTATCCCACTGGCTAAAAGGTGAATGCACCAATTTGTAAGTCGCTTTGGATAAGAGCGTCTGCTAAATGATGTAAATGTAAATGAGTAGAATGGGGAAGTGGTTAACTGTGAGGAGAGTAGAATGGGGAAGTGGTTAACTGTGAGGAGAGTAGAATGGGAAAGTGGTTAACTGTGAGGAGAGTAGAATGGGAAAGTGGTTAACTGTGAGGGGAGAAGAATGGGGAAGTGGTTAACTGTGAGGAGAGTTGAATGGGAAAGTGGTTAACTGTGAGGAGAGTAGAATGGGGAAGTGGTTAACTGTGAGGAGAGTAGAATGGGAAAGTGGTTAACTGTGAGGAGAATAGAATGGGGAAGTGGTTAACTGTGAGGAGAGTTGTATGGGAAAGTGGTTAACTGTGAGGAGAGTAGAATGGGGAAGTGGTTAACTGTGAGGAGAGTAGAATGGGGGAAGTGGTGGGTGATGGAGATTGGGATTGGGGGGAAGAGGGGGAAGAGGGGTGGAGGCTGGGGTTGGAGAGTAGTTTTCTGCAAAACTGTAGGGACTTTGTTGGGTTTTTCCTCCCAGGATCTACACACATGCGCACGCACGCACACACAAACAAACACACACAACAAACAAACGCGCATGCACACACACACCCTGGCACATAATAATGTGTGCAACACATAAACCCTACGAACACACCCCTGCACCCCTCCCATCCCTCTCAGACAACCATTATTTACTGCAGTCCGTAGCCGCCAGCCCGTCAGCAGGGTGCTCAACACAGTTGCCTGCTAAACTGCCTGCTAAACTGACATTACTGCTGATTATCAGGAACTGATCTGGCAAGTATTTATTGAAGGGGAGTGTTTTGTTGGTCACGCTCCCCTATGCAGAATACCAATAAGTCCTAGGTAGGCTGGTGTTAGTGCATTGATATTCCATTCATCAGATCAGATTGTAGATGGGTTAGTCCCAAATAGCACCCTATTCCCTATATAGTGCACTACTTTTGATGAGGGCCAATGGGGCTCTGGTCAAAAGTAGTGTACTATACAGGGAATAGGGTGCTATTTGGGACAGAGCCAATGTCTTGAACAAAGCACAGATACAAGGGAACAGGGGATACAGAGACCGCAAATAATCAAACAACCTATAAAATGCTGACACAATGTTGACACTATCTCTTCCTCTCCATAATTCAAGGTAGACAGACAGTACATTGCATGGCTTTATGTAGGGAAATACTGTCCTTTTATGGAAAAAGTTGGTCTGCTTTTTTACCAAGAAAAGCAGGTTGGGGACAGATGTTCTTTTGGTTGACGATGACAATATCCCTAAGGTGATCTTCCTTTATGGGTCCTGCTTAGTATGTGACTATTTCACTTGAAGTAATTAGAGAGAATTACCATGCAGAGGACGATATCCTCTCTAGGTGTTGCTATTGGCTGGGTCTCAAATGGCACCCTGTTTCCTTTTATAGTGCACTACTTATATAGTGCACCCTTTATAGTGCACTACTACCTTTGACCAGAGCCCCCACTATATAGAAAAGAAGGTACCATTTGGGATGCAACCATTCCCTCTGTCTGAGATATCACCTGAAATGAGCTCCAACCATTTTTTTTAAACATTTGTACATTTTTAGTCATTTAGCAGACGCTCTTCTCCAGAGCGACTTACAGTTAGGAGTGCATACATTTTCATACTGGCCCCCGTGGGAATCGAACCCACAACCCTGGCGTTGCAAACGCCATGCTCTACCAACTGAGCTACACGGGACAAGATCATGTTGAGGCAGATTCATAACACCATGTTGAGGCAGATTCATAACACCATGTTGAGGCAGTTTCATAACACCATGTTGAGGCAGTTTCATAACACCATGTTGAGGCAGTTTCATAACACCATGTTGAGGCAGTTTCATAACATCATGTTGAGGCAGTTTCATAACATCATGTTAAGGCAGTTTCATAACATCATGTTGAGGCAGTTTCATAACAACATCATGTTCTGGCAGTTTCATAACCACATCATGTTCAGGCAGTTTTATCTCTGAAATTGCTTGTCAAAAGTGAAGAAAGGAACCATTCACAAGATAACAATGGGACCATTTCATGTATTTCTGCATTTGTGTTTACTGTACGTGATATGTGGGTGTTTCTGTACTTTGGACAGACATTTTGGGACAAGGGAGATGTTGGGGGGGGGAAGAGGGGTGGAGGCTGGGATTGGGGGGAAGAGGGGTGCAGGCTGGGGTTGGAGAGTAGTTTTCTGCAAAACTGTAGGGACTTTGTTTGGTTTTTCCTCCCAGGATCTACACACATGCGCACGCACGCACGCACGCATACACACACACACAAACAAACGCACACGCACACACACAACACACCCTGGCACATAATAATGTGTGCAACACATAAACCCTACGAACACACCCCTGCACCCCTCCCATCCCTCTCAGACAACCATTATTTACTGCAGTCCGTAGCCGCCAGCCCGTCAGCAGGGTGCTCAACACAGTTGCCTGCTAAACTGCCTGCTAAACTGACATTACTGCTGATTATCAGGAACTGATCTGGCAAGTATTTATTGCAGGGGAGTGTTTTGTTGGTCACGCTCCCCTATGCAGAATACCAATAAGTCCTAGGTAGGCTGGTGTTAGTGCATTGATATTCCATTCATCAGATCAGATTGTAGATGGATTAGTCCCAAATAGCACCCTATTCCCTATATAGTGCACTACTTTTGATGAGGGCCAATGGGGCTCTGGTCAAAAGTAGTGTACTATACAGGGAATAGGGTGCTATTTGGGACTGAGTCAATGTCTTGAACAGAGCACAGATACAAGGGAACAGGGGATACAGAGACCGCAAATAATCAAACAACCTATAAAATGCTGACACAATGTTGACACTATCTCTTCCTCTCCATAATTCAAGGCAGACAGACAGTACATTGCATGCCTTTATGTAGGGAAATACTGTCCTCTTATGGAAAAAGTTGGTCTGCTTTTTTACCAAGAAAAGCAGGTTGAGGACAGATGTTCTTTTGGTTGACGATGACAGTATCCCTAAGGTGATCTTCCTTTATGGGTCCTGCTTAGTATGTGACTATTTCACTTGAAGTAATTAGAGAATTACCATGCAGAGGACGATATCCTCTCTAGGTGTTGCTATTGGCTGGGTCTCAAATGGCACCCTGTTTCCTTTTATAGTGCACTACTTATATAGTGCACCCTTTATAGTGCACTACTACCTTTGACCAGAGCCCCCACTATATAGAAAAGAAGGTACCATTTGGGATGCAACCATTCCCTCTGTCTGAGATATCACCTGAAATTAGCTCCAACCATTTCAAAACAAGATCATGTTGAGGCAGATTCATAACATCATGTTGAGGCAGTTTTATCTCTGAAATTGCTTGTCAAAAGTGAAGAAAGGAACCATTCACAAGATAACAATGGGACCATTTCATGTATTTCTGCATTTGTTTACTGTAAGTGATATGTGGGTGTTTTGTACTTTGGACAGACATTTTGGGACAAGAGAGATGGTGATATTGATTACTGGTGTTTGATAGATGTAGATATTGATTTCTGGTGATGGAGATATTGATTGCTGGTGTTTGATAGATGGAGATATTGATTACTGGTGTTTGATAGATGGAGATATTGATTGCTGGTGATTGATAGATGGAGATATTGATTACTGGTCTTTGATAGATGGAGATATTGATTGCTGGTGATTGATAGATGGAGATATTGATTGCTGGGGATTGATAGATGGAGATATTTATTACTGGTGATTGATAGATGGAGTTATTGATTGCTGGTGATTGATAGATGGAGATATTGATTACTGGTCTTTGATAGATGGAGATATTGATTGCTGGTGATTGATAGATGGAGATATTGATTGCTGGGGATTGATATATGGAGATATTTATTACTGGTGATTGATAGATGGAGTTATTGATTGCTGGTGATTGATAGATGGAGATATTGATTGCTGGTGATTGATAGATGGTGATAGATTGTGATATTGATTACTTGTGATTGATAATGATATTGATTACTGATGATTGATGGTGATATTGATTACTGGTGATAGATGGCGATATTGATTACTGGTGATAGATGGCGATATTGATTACTGGTGATAGATGGTGATATTGATTACTGGTGATAGATGGTGATATTGATTACTGGTGATAGAGGGTGATATTGATTACTGGTGATAGATGGTGATATTGATTACTGGTGATAGAGGGTGATATTGATTACTGGTGATAGAGGGTGATATTGATTACTGGTGATAGAGGGTGATATTGATTACTGGTGATAGAGGGTGATATTGATTACTGGTGATAGAGGGTGATATTGATTACTGGTGATTGGTGGAGATATTGATTACTGGTGATAGATGGATATATTGATTACTGGTGATAGATGGTGCAGCTTGGGAGTGGATTTCTTTATACTATCCCCCTCTCCTGTCACGTCATCTCTTCCTCCCTCCTTTCCTCTCCTCTCACCTTCCTTCTCTCCATCCCTCTCTTGCCCACAGAGTGAGACCTTGTCTGGTAGACAGGGGGGCTGAGTGTGATAAACTGTTTCCAAAGTGGGCTCACTCAGTGAGAGATGAGGCGGGGGTTTGAGTGACAGTTATGGGGTCTAGGGGGCCGTCTTGTTAACCCCCCCACTGCTTAGCAATGTGATGTTTCTGTAGAGAGACAGCCTCTCTGAACCTGGAGAAAAGAGCCTTCACTGGACTGGAACCCCAAACTAACCCACGCCCGTCCTGACTTGGGTCTCACAGGGAAACGTTTATACTCCCAACCCCATCAAATCCCCTCTCTTATACAGTACACACAAACACACGCACACAGGCCTCTTGCTCTCTACATCAGCCAAGTGCTCTGGGTCAACAGGACCTGTTTTCTCTGCTCCATCTCGACCTCACGGAGCCAGATAAACAACCAGGAAGAGATGGACCCCTCACATGGTCCTACGGTAAAGGGGCTACCCTGACCTGCGCCTGTCACACAGGGTCTTACGGTAAAGGGGCTGCCCTGACCTGTGCCTGTTACACAGGGTCCTACGGTAAAGGGGCTGCCCTGACCTGTGCCTGTCACACAGGGTCCTATGGTAAAGGGGCTGCCCTGACCTGTGCCTGTCACACAGGGTCCTACGGTAATGGGGCTGCCCTGACCTGTGCCTGTCACACAGGGTCCTACAGTAAAGGGGCTGCCCTGACCTGTGCCTGTCACACAGGGTCCTACGGTAAAGGGGCTGCCCTGACCTCTGCCTGTCACACATGGTCCTATGGTAAAGGGGCTGCCCTGACCTGTGCCTGTCACACAGGGTCCTACGGTAAAGGGGCTGCCCTGACCTGTGCCAGTCACACAGGGTCCTACGGTAAAGAGGCTACCCCATTGACTTCGATAGACATCACATCATATTATCTGTCCCATTATGGCATCTGTTAGAGCATGGGCACCACCATTGAGGCCATCTCCATTTTGAAGTAGTCCATTTTCTTCTTCTAGTACTTTTATAAGTTGGTAAACACTAGAGTCCTCTATCTATTTCTATGGGCTGCTCTGACCTGTGCCTTTTCACAAACACGTTGTCAAACAGCATTCCTAAGCTTCTCAGCTAGGGGGTTCCCTTCCCGGACTCTCTGACAACTTCATTTCATTAACAACCCCTGGATTTAATGACTGAAATTATCTCATGTTTTTTCTGGAGCATACAAACATTTAGCTGCCGAGAAGCGTGTCGTGTGGCACGGTGCCTTACAGAGGAGCATGTGTCAGAGTGGGTCCCCCTGAATGTGTCAACACCTCAACTAGCACCAGTCTGATACTGAATGGGGTTTATTGGGGGAGAGCTGTTTTCCTAGCTTTACGCTTACATGTTGTTGAGTGAGGTGAGATGTGAGGTGTTTTTCCAGTGCTGTCCCTCTCCACTGACTGCTGTCTTTGTGCCCTGGGTTCCTACAGGCACTGCCTGGACGCCCGAGACCCCTACTGTGGCTGGGACCGTAAGCAGAAGCGCTGCACCACCATCGAGGATAGCTCCAACATGAGCCAGTGGAGCCAGAATATCACTGAGTGCCCAGTAAGGGTCACACACACCTCATATGTAACACACACACAAACACACACCTCTATGTAACACACAGGTCATTCGGAAAGTATTCAGACCCCTTGACTTTTTCCAAATGTTGTTACGTTACAGCCTTATTCTAAGATTGATTAAATAAAAACATTTTCCTCATCAATCTACACACAATACCCCATAATGACAACATTTTCCAAATGTATTAAAAATTAAAACAGAAATACCTTATTTACATAAGTATTCAGATCCTTTGCTATGAGACTCAAAATAGATCTCAGGCACATCCTGTTTCCATTGATCATCCTTGATGTTTCTATAACTTGATTGGAGTCCACCTGTGGTAAATTCAATTGATTGGACATGATTTGGAAAGGCACACACCTGTCTATATAAGGTCCCACAGTTGACAGTGCATGTCAGAGCAAAAACGAAGCCATGAGGTCGAAGGAATTGTCCGTAGAGCACCGAGACAGGATTGTGTCGAGGCACAGATCTGGGGAATGGTACCAAAACATTTCTGCAGCATTGAAGGTCCCCAAGAACACAGTGGCCTCCAAGTTTGTAACCACCAAGACTCTTCCTAGAGCTGGCCTCCCTGCCAAACTGAGCAATCGGAGGAGAAGGGCCTTGGTCAGGGAGGTGACCAAGAACCCGATGGTCACTCTGACAGAGCTCCAGAGTTCCTCTGTGGAGATGGGAGAACCTTCTAGAAGGACAACCATCTCTGCAACACTCCACCAATCAGGCCTTTATGGTAGAGTGGCAAGACGGAAGCCACTCCTCAGTAAAAGGCACATGACAGCCTGCTTGGAGTTTGCCAAAAGGCACCTAAAGGACTCAGACCATGAGAAACAAGATTGTCTGGTCAGATGAAACTAAGATTGAACCTTTTGACGTCTGGAGGAAACCTGGCACCATCCCTACGGTGAGGCATGGTGGTGGCAGCATCATGCTGTGGGGATGTTTTTCAGCGGCAGGGACTGGGAGATTAGTCAGGATCGAGGGAAAGACAGAGCTTGAGAGGATCTGCAGAGAAGAATGGGAGAAACTCCCCAAAGCTTGTAGCGTCATACCCAAGAATACTCAAGGCTGTAATCGATGCCAAAGGTTTTTCAACAAAGTACTGAAGTAAAGGGTCTGAATACTTCTGTCAATGTGATATTTCAGTTTTTTATTTGTAATACATTTGCAAAAATAATAAATAAATAAAACGTTTTTGCTTTGTCATTATGGGGTATTGTTTGTAGATTGATGAGGGGGAAAAAACCATTTAATCCATTTTAGAATAAGGCTGTAACAAAATGTGGAAAAAGTCAAGGGGTCTGAATACTTTCCGAATGCACTGTACACACACACACACACTCTTTGTTTTCGTGAAATGTCCGGACCTTTTGTAGTGTAAAATATTTGACCATTAAAAATCCTATTTACCCTAACCCCTAAACCTAACACTAACCCTAAACCTTAACCCCAAAACCCTAAATCGAACCCTTAAGCTTAAAATAGCATTTGAACAAATTTAGGACCTGAAAAAAAGTCCTGACAAAAAAGAAAGTCAGGACATTCAGGTGAAATGTTAGGACTTTGGGGTCCTGATAATTTAGGGGGAAAAACATGCACACACACATATACACACACACAGCAGACAGACTCACACAGACAGACACACTCATTCACTTTCCCCACACACCTTCCCCTCTCGCCTACCACTTTTTCCCATTAGCCACCATTCTGACCCCATTTCTGATTGGTCTCTTCTGATTCTGAACTCCCGCCCGCTCACAGGTACGGAACCTGACCCAGGACGGCGGCTTCAGCCCCTGGACGCCATGGCAACCCTGTAACCACGACGACGGGGAGGGTGCCAGCACCAGTTGTGCGTGTCGCTCACGCTCCTGTAACAGTCCGGTCCCTCAGTGTGGAGGCTCCAACTGCAAGGGCCCCACTATCCAGGTGGCCAACTGTTCCAGGTACTGTAGAGAAAGAATAGGGGGAAGCTATAGTCTACTATTCATTATTCAGCACCAAACATCTCAACAGTTACTGGAATAGTCATGACAGTCAGCAGAGCATGTTTCCTGGAGTACAGAACGTTTTGGGGGGATTATCAAGTCCCACATTTGGGCACCTGATTCCTGTTTCTTTGTTCAAATTGGGCTGACGTGCATTTGAGTCCGCTTTCATTCTATGTTTCCAGCATGTTAACAAACTGTCAGTATATTTGATGAGAAGGTATTGTACATGTTGATGGATCTCTGGACAAAGACGAGTAGTAGTATGAGACTTCAGACCAGCCGCAGCAGCACAGTCCAATACTGATATAAATGTAAATGAGATGCATACTACCTTGCATCTACCAGAAAGTGTTGTCATGTTCTTAGATGGAACTCAAGGACACCCATCCCCTCTAGTAATAGAGGTTTCCCTCATTAGGCAAAAGTAATTGGATTTATCTAGAGTGAGTTGAAAACCAAATGACTGTCACCTCTCAGTATAGCACATCTCTATTTGTGTATGTGTGTGTGGTTTTACTATCCAGGTGGGGACCAGAACTCCTCACAAGGATAGTAAAACAGGGACAATTCTGACAAGTGGGGACATTTTGCCGGTCCCCACAAGGAAAAAGCCAATTTTAGACTTAGGGCTTAGGTTTAGGGTTAGAATTAGGGTTAGGGGTTAGGTTTAGGGTTAGGGTTAGGAGATAGGGTCAGGGTTAAGGTTAGGGTTAGGAGATATGGTCAGGGTTAAGGTTAGGGTTAGGTTAAGGGTTTGAGGTTAGGGAAAATATGACTTTGAATGGGAATCAATAGTATTTTTCCCACAAGGATAGTGAAACAAACTATTGTGTCTGTGTCTGTGTGTCTGTGTGTCAAATCACATCACATTTCATTTGTCACATACACGTGTTTAGCAGATGTTATCGCGGATGTAGCGAAATGCTTGTGTTTCTAGCTCCGACAGTGCAGTAACTTCTAACAAGGAATATCAAACAATTTCACAACATATACCCAATACACACAAATCTAAGTAAGGAATGGAATTAAGAATGTATACATATATGGACGAGCGATGTGTGTGAGCATGCTTACGTACGTTGAGTGTGTGTGTGTGTGTGCTATTAGAGAGATTACGATCTTTACTGGTGGCTTCCTGATGTCTACTTCACTGTGTTCCTATGCAGGAGAGAGACAGAGGTGCTGAAATGAAATGCTCTTTTACAGGAAGCACCAATTTAATTAGAAGGGAAGCTCCATCGGCCTGAAGCACTTAAACAAATTGGGGGATGTTTTTAATGCCTCGGCCCAGTCAGCTTCCCAGACAAGCACACGTAGACTGAAGCTCAGCAATGTTTGTTCTGTTCTTCTGCTTTCAGAGGGTTTACAATAGAAGATGACAGAGGGACTAGAAGATGACAGAGGGACTATTTTTCTTAGTGATTAACTAGGCTATTAGAGTTTTGGGTGAATCTGCGTGTCTTACCAGTTGTTCTGAGTCTCTCTCTCTCTCTCTCTTTCTCTCTCTTTCTCTCTCTCTCTCTTTCTCTCTCGCTCTCTCGCTCTCCTCTAGGAACGGAGACTGGACCCCCTGGTCCTCCTGGGGTCAGTGCAGCACCAGCTGTGGCATCGGGTTCGAGGTGCGCCAGCGTTCCTGCAACAACCCTTCACCCCGGCACGGGGGGCGTGTCTGTGTGGGACAAGGCCGAGACGAGAGGTGAGAAAGAGGGACTCAATGCAGTACATTCAGTCAGGTTTACATTCAGTCAGGTTTACATACAGTCACGTTTACATTCAGTCAGGTTTACATTCAGTCAGGTCAGGCTTACATACAGTCAGGTTTATATACAGTCAGGTTTACATTCAATCAGGCTTACATTCAGTCAGGTGTATATACATTCAGTCAGGTTTTTCTCCCCATCTTGCATCATATGCTTAGTGACAGATGAGATTTGTGTATTGAGTAACCTTGCTGAAGACTTATGTTAGTTCCCCGAGCTAATGCCCTCAGCTTTAGCTCAGCAGGTTAACACAGTTTTGTGGCTTGCAGGAGACCCTGGTTCAGCGTCGCAAAGCCCTTTGAAATGGTGCACATATTGTAAAGCAGTGGTTCACCTTCTCTTACAGAGACCACCAAGCAGAAAGAGTACAACTGTATGTTTACTGTGTGTGTGTGTGTGTGTGTGTGTGTGTGTGCAGGCTGTGCAATGAGAAGAGCCCGTGCCCGCTGCCTGTGTTCTGGTCTTCTTGGGGCTCCTGGTCTAAGTGCAGTGCAGAGTGTGGAGGAGGGGTCCACTCCCGAGTCAGGAGCTGTGAGAAGGGGAACACCTGCCCAGGATGTGCTCTGGTACGGTAAACACACACACACAGACACACACCCTCATACTGCACCCCAAAGGCATTCTTTACTACATCTCTCTCACAGATAAACACCCTTGTTTGATCTAGTGAATGGCATCTTTCATTATTCATTTATCATAGTCTGAAGATGAACAGTCAGGTTGAAACTGACATATCCACTCTCCTTTCCCTAAAACACTCCCTCCCTTAGGAGTACAAGACCTGTAACCTGGAGGCGTGTCCGGAGGTCCGCCGCAACACTCCCTGGACCCCCTGGATGCCGGTGAATGTGACCCAGGACGGGGCCCGCCAGGAGCAGAGGGCCCGCTACACCTGCAGGGCCCTCCTTCCAGACCCTCGTCAGCTGCAGCTGGGCAAGAAGAAGGTGGAGACCCGCGTCTGCCCCAACGACGGCACCGCCACCTGTGAGACTGAGCGTAAGTCTGAGGGCCGACCCACTCATACACATATACTCGACATGCATCTACACACTTTCTCCATACAGCTTTCCTCTCCCCTGTCCAGGCAGACAGGCAGACAGGCAGACAGGCAGGAAAGCCTGCTAAGCCTGATGTTATGCAGTGGGCTCAGGTTTTTAAACGGCCAGCTGGGATGACCCATGCTGTGCTCACTGGAGCGGGATGATCTGGGCGGTCGTACCCAGTGACAGGCTACCCGGGTTGGGGTCGGTGTCACAGTCCACAGCCTCTCATTGATTTAAAGGTCAGACAGGCAGGCAGAATGCCTCTGTTGCTGACAGTAACTAGAGGGGGGAGAAGTGTGTGTGTGTGTGTGTGTGCATATTTAAGACAGGCTCCATGTGAAGCAAGGCAGATAGAGAGGATGTGTTTGCGTCGACTTGCAGAGAGCAGAGCAACCGTGTGGTCACCAGGTCTAAACACCATGTCACAGGCTGCCACCGGGTCTAAACACCATGTCACAGGCTGTCACCAGGTCTAAACACCATGTCACAGGCTGTCACCGGGTCTAAACACCATGTCACAGGCTGTCACCGGGCCTAAACACCATGTCACAGGCTGTTACCGGGCCTAAACACCATGTCACAGGCTGTCACCAGTTCTAAACACCATGTCACAGGCTGTCACCAGTTCTAAACACCATGTCACAGGCTGTCACCGGGCCTAAACACCATGTCACAGGCTGTTACCGGGCCTAAACACCATGTCACAGAGGCCTTGTCTAAACTCAAGAGGAGACATCTGGCCTCACGGTAACAAGTAACAAGGTCCTTATGAAATATTACTGCTGCCCTGGTTTCAAACCACACAGACAGAAAATAAAAAGCTTTTAATTAATTATTGAAGTAATTTCCATAATTTAGATGATGTGTTGCTTCTTTTTCCTTTTCAAAGAGTTCATCTGGAAGCCATTAACCCAGATCTTACTCCACAGTTGAATGTTTGGCCTAGATTCTAACTGCACTGGTTACTGTCAGATCATGTAATGAGGACGGAAGCCTCTACACTCCTAGAACCATCACATTTTCAGTTATTTCATTGCCAAGCTTTAGGTCACAGAAGACCATTGTTTATCAGAGCTGTTCTCTATTTCCTACCATACCATTAGCAAAACAACATCTTTTTGACTTTGAGAAGTAAAAATAATATTGTAAATCACATTTTGTATTGTAATGTCTCGTGTATGAGTGTCTCTGTGTCTCTGTGTGGTTCAGCTCTGGTTGAAGACTTGGTCAGGTCCAGTGGTGGTGACGGTAGCGGTCGACCTTTGTTCCGACAGCCAGGTGGCACCAGGTGGTCGCCGTGGGAGTCATGGTCGACCTGCTCCCAGGAGTGTGCCAAAGGCTTCCGCACGCGCAAGCGCACCTGTGCCTCAGCTGAGGGTAAGAGCACGTCCAGTGCCTGTAGTGGATCCCCAGTGGAGTACCAGGACTGCAACTCCCAGCCCTGCCCAGGTAAGACACCGACTAGTCACGTGCTACAGTACATCTGCTCAAATACTGTACTGACCGATTAACTTAACGGGCAGTGTAGAACCGAGACTGGGATTCCTTCAAAGCCGACAATAGCCTTTTAAAGGCAATTTCCCCCACGTTCTTGGAGATCGCATTCATGGTAAATGCTGCGGATGTCGGCTTAAGCGTAAATTGCCTTTAAAAGTCTGTAGTGAAAAATAAACAAGTCTAAAAATAATGAATAAAATGTTTTGTTTTCATGTGCTGAAAATATGTTTTAAAAAACTCAGCATCTGAATAAATAGGTACACTCGTTGGCCAAATGGATTGGGCTAAATTGAAATGTTTCTTACAGAAGAAACATGGAAAGCATATGCATAACCATGGTAGCAATTAAAAGGGAACAATTTGAAGATTATGAGAAAATGATTAGACTAAAGTTGAGGACACAACAGTTCACCTGACACAAGAATTAATCTAAACATTCCACTGTTGACTTTATATGCATTTTACATTTACTGTACTTTTTGCCGCATTTGTTGATAAAGAAATCTGAAAATACTCTGGATACATTCAGTAACATAAGAATATTCTTGGAAATGTTGGGGTAGGTGCAACATAAGACAAATAAATGACAAGGGTTTGAGTGAGAGGTCTAACTGGTGTTTCCAAGGGGCCACACACCTCTCCAAAGTGTGGACAGTTCCTAAGTCATTCAATGCACTTTTATGACTCAAGAGTCTTCAACTATAAGGTGATTTTTTTAGCTCTCCTAGCTGTGTCGTTGAGGAACTAGAGCAGCACACTGGTAGTTGTTTTGTTTGGAACACAACCCTGCATCCCCGCCTTTACACAATTACTGTAGTTGTTTTGTTTGGAACACAACCCTGCATCCCCGCCTTTACACAATTACTGTAGTTGTTTTGTTTGGAACACAACCCTGCATCCCGCCTTTACACAATTACTGTTGTTGTTTTGTTTGGAACACAACCCTGCATCCCCGCCTTTACACAATTACTGTAGTTGTTTTGTTTGGAACACAACCCTGCATCCCGCCTTTACACAATTACTGTTGTTGTTTTGTTTGGAACACAACCCTGCATCCCCGCCTTTACACAATTACTGTAGTTGTTTTGTTTGGAACACAACCCTGCATCCCGCCTTTACACAATTACTGTAGTTGTTTTGTTTGGAACACAACCCTGCATCCCGCCTTTACACAATTACTGTAGTTGTTTTGTTTGGAACACAACCCTGCATCCCGCCTTTACACAATTACTGTAGTTGTTTTGTTTGGAACACAACCCTGCATCCCGCCTTTACACAATTACTGTTGTTGTTTTGTTTGGAACACAACCCTGCATCCCCGCCTTTACACAATTACTGTAGTTGTTTACACATTCCAAAAATGGTCCATTATAAATCCCAATCTGGGTCAGGTGGGCATCATTTGAAAGCTTGTTCTACTGCCAACATGAATAGCTAAATTATAAAATAAGTTAGGTTTTCACAAGGCAATTCAGAGAAGCAGATTTTAATTTTTGTCACGCTCGTTGATAGACGGATCAGACCAAGGTGCAGCGTGGTATGCGTACATATTCCTTTATTAACTGAATACAGAATCAAAACAACAAAATACAAACAAACGTGAAGTTCAACAGGCTACACAAGCCAAAACAGAAACAAGATCCCACAACTAAGGTAGGCAAAATGGCTGCCTAAGTATGATCCCCAATCAGAGACAACGATAGACAGTTGCCTCTGATTGGGAACCACACCCGGCCAACATAGAAATAGAACATCTAGAATTTCACACCCTGACCAAACCAACTAGAGAAAAACAAGGCTCTCAAGGTCAGGGCGTGACAATTTTGGTGCGCATAAAATGGAGTCATGAATGCATTCTGCTGCGTGGTCCGCGGCAATTTCTTTTCACAATACAATAAACGTAGGCTCATTCTGTTCAGGACAACCCAGGGTATAACGCCATGTCATCTTGTAACTAACTGTACATCAAACCTAGTGATCATAAACGTTGACACTGTATATGACATGAGTTTTATGATATGGAAATGTGAAGTGGGCATTTGGAGTCCCGGGTGTTTGACTTGCTTGTATGACATCAAAGCGGTATTTATTATAATCCTCAACGTCTCATCTTTCAAAATATATCGAGTCCTCGTAATTTACAGCATTTCCCTCATTCAGACAACAAAACATTTGCAGAAGTTGCCCAGTTAGCGGGAGGGATGGGGGAAACTTTTTGTTGCGCGCGGTGCTTAAGCTCAGAACGGCTGTCAGTCAAAACCCATACAGAGCTGTGAAGAGCAGAGCCAGAGCTGTATAGCATGTTACTGTACAGCCACTGTGTTCAAATGTAGCCGCTTATCAGTGTCCAAATCAGACATTTTCAACCCGTATACAAGTACGAGTGTAAAGGGCTACAAGAAATTCATGTAATTACGCATTTTATATTTTCTATGAAAGTTTGACGCATATGTTTGTGTCCAGTGAAAGGAGCCTGGTCGTGCTGGGCGTCATGGTCTCACTGCTCTGCCACCTGTGGAGGTGGGCACTACCAGCGAACACGTACCTGTAGCAACCCTGCCCCCGCCAATGGAGGTGACATCTGCATCGGCCTGCACACTGAAGAGGCCCTGTGCAACACACACACCTGTGAAGGTATGCAGAATGAACAGATTCACAGATGACAGATAGGCAGCAGATACACAACATTCAGTCATATCCTGCACAGATCACAGATACACATATTTGCAGCATTCGTTCATACAAATATTGTTTTTAAAATGTTGAGCATTCAAAATAACTCATTTAAATGATGGGGCATAAGTCATGTTAAGGTTATTTAGCTGCTATGTGGTATTGAGTTCACTGTGGCTTTACTTTGACTTATAGTAGCACAACAACTCATCATCCTCTCTTCCTCCCCTCTCTCCGTCCACCCTCTCCTCTCTCTCCTCCAACTCCCTCCACTCCTCCCCTGTTCCTCCAGGTGGCTGGCTGGTGTGGTCAGAGTGGAGGGAGTGTGATGAGGAGGGGCTGCAGCATCGCAGCAGGGAGTGTGGGGAACGGGAGGCAGACCCCAGCCTGTGTCAGGGCAATGCCACCACGAGCAGGCCCTGTCAGTCCCGCGAGGTGCCAGGTCAGTCCCCAACATTTTAAATGCACGGCTAAATAGCCAGCTGACAAAGTCGAAAATGAACTATTCAAATTCAAAAATGAACTATCACTTTATGGGCAGTGCTTGTTTGGTTTTGCTGCAGAAAGCGGGGAGCTTTGACTCTATTGGATGGTTGAATTGTGCATTGCAGTAACAGTCTCTCTCTCTCTCTCTCTCTCTCTCTCTCTCTCTCTCTCTCTCTCTCTCTCTCTCTCTCTCTCTCTCTCTCGCTCTCTCTCTCTCTCTCTCTCTCTCTCTCTCTCTCTGTTTCTTCCTATTTCTCTCCTTTCTCTTTATCTCTCTTTCTATTTTTCTCTGCAGTCGTTCTGCCTGGACAGGATAACGACCAGCGCTGTGGGGGTAAGTGAATTACGAGCTTCCTCCCTCCTCCTCACCATCCCAGTGGGGGGTAACAGGGACCCCCAAGGACATGGAGCATGCCTCTCGTCACCCCTTCCTCCCCCTCTTCCGCTCCCTCTCCTCTTGTTTTACCCCCTGCCCACTCCCGTTGCATCACAAATTAATCAATGCCACCCTGATTACACACAAAGCTATCATTCCTAAAACCTTTAGGCCTAGATTCAATCAGATCAAGCGTTAACCGGCGATAGCCGACACCCGCAGCTGATGTTTTGGCGGTGTCGGAGGTGTAACTGTGTTGGAGCTGTCAAATCGGTGAGCAGCTGCTCTTGATCATTGTCACGAAGCCACACCCGTCCCACTCGCGTTAGAAGGTCAGAACGAGAAAGTGTAGGCTATATAGAAATAATTACGCTCAAATGGAAAATCATTCAACTAAATAATGAGGATTTCTATCAGCCTAATCGAGGTGTAGATTACATCTCACATTCCAATATTCAAACTTGTGAACAAGGCTGCATGGGATTTCTGTTAATGCGACTCCGTTCAGCCAATGACAATGTCCGCTTTAGGTATAATGCCAGGAGCCGCTTGTGGATCTGACAGCTCTACTGCAGTTCCACCACCGACACCCCCAAAACAACCGCTATGCGGATGTAGGCTAAAGCGGATCTGTTTGAATAGAGCCCTAAAGCCTTGTTCACATTGGCAGTTTGAAGTGATTAAAATAAAATATAAATTGCATATCTGATCCGAATCTGTTATTTTTCCTGCAGTCTGAACAGCCAGAAAGTACATGGAATCAGATATTTCAAGCCATATTTCAAACCACCTTTGTAGGTGGTTTGCAATCAGATAAAAATCTGATTCCTGGCTGCGCAACTTGTGTCTGAATGGTCAAATCTTATTTATTTGCCCTCAAGTGGTTTTTAGACTGTTATTTGGCATATAATGTTGCTTACTAGCTAGTGGGTTGACAATTTTGACAAGAACGTGTGGTAGCTAATTAGTTTGTTAATTGTTTAAGAAAAAATTACTGAATGTGCTAGAAAGCTAAACAGCTACTTAGCTAGCTAGTTGACTGGTGTGGCTAGCCAAAAATGACTAGTTTTGAAACTTGGATCATCTTATCCTTTGAGGCTTAAAAAGGGTTCTTACACTATGATTTTGAACATTCAAAACAACTGGGAGGCATTGTTGTCACCTTAGCTTGCTACATAACTTCTGAGTGATAGGAAGCACAAGCACCACCACCACCAATCAGCCTACACCACTGCGCAAACACCCATTGTTACTATGACAACTAGCATAGCCATGTCAGCAGATAACTGCTATCTGAACACACACAAATCCGATTTGGTCAATTGTAACTTGCTGTTTGGACAGTCAGTATTCCAAAACGGATTTGAAAAACCAAACTGATTTGAACATTAAGGCCTGCAGTGTGGCCATTTTAGCTGATCCTCTCATGACAAAGAAATTATGGAGCTATTGCACTGTTGCTAGTAGACCTGGGTTCAAATACTGTTTGTAATCTTTCAAAGACGTTTACTCTAGCATGGCTGCAGTGCTATATGGCCGGAGTTTGCACTTTTAGAACTGTTCCATTTAGCTAGGCAAGCTCAATTAAGCACAGATAAAGCTGTTTAACTGATTTCGAATAGTATTTGAACCCAGGTCTGAACACTAGCTTAGCTGCACTTTGCCTTCAAAACAGGTTTGAACTCGCAATTTTTGGGAACAAGACTACATTGCCAAAGCAAACATATTGGAACATATTAAATCAATGATGATGGAGTAAATAATAACAATAATATTCAAACTGTCTCTCTTTCTCTCTCCTCCTACCAGCCTTCTCTCTGTTCCACCTGATGGCCACGGGAGCGTTGTGTTTCTTTGCGGCGGTGGGGCTGTCGGTCCTGGTCTATGCCTACTGCCAGCGACTCCACAAGCCCTCCCAGGACTCAGCCGTCATCCACCCCACCACGCCCAACCACCTCAGCTATAAGGGCAACACCACGCCAAAGAATGAGAAGTACACCCCCATGGAGTTCAAGGTAGAGTATTCCACTCTTTCTACCCCCCCCCCCCCCCCCCTCCCCCAAACATAGGGAATGGAATGATCCGCTAGGGCAGAATCAGACCTGCAGGTTCAGATAGATAACATTTGTTTTCTTTCAAATACTTTGAGCTTTTAATTAAATCTGCCTGGAGTGCCAGATGGGTTTCATTGCACCAGGCAAGCCCAATCAAGCACAGATGAAGAATTTGAAATAAAGTAAATACTATTTGAATGTAGGTCTGCTTCAAATACCAAATATCAGACCTCAAATGCTCGGGTCATTGTAGTCCTTGCTTGTCTGATTTAGTCTATTTTGCTCTTTGGTAGAATGGCAGAGAGAGAGCAGCAAGAGAGAGCAGCAAGAGAGAGCAGCAAGAGAGAGCAGAGAGAGAAAGCAGAGAGATAGCAGAGAGAGAGAGAGAGCAGAAAGAGAGCAGAGAGAGAGCAGAGAGATAGCAGAGAGATAGCAGCCTGTAGCTATAGCTGTGTCCGTTCGTCCCGCCCTTGTGATGTCCCAGTGATGTACTGTCTGTTTGCCTCCCACTCTTTATTAATGTGTTCATTAGCCTGTTAACCTATCAGAAAGGAGGGCAAGACTCTCACAGCTGTGTTTGATTAATCGAGCCATTACCTGAATTAATTAGCTCACGTCTGCTCTCTGGCTGTGTCCTCACACACACACACACACACACACACAAACACACACGCACGCACACAAACACTCCCTTATGTCCTTCCTGTGTCATCTGCTGCCTCTCGCCATGGTTACCAGCGATTGACACCATGGTCTGTCTGTCTGAGACCCCCAAAAGGGATCGTTAGTCCATCTGTGTGTGATTGATCGTGTCTGCTTGTTGATACAGTTTGATGTATTATAATATCTGTGTGTGATTGATCGGGTCTGTGTGTCATGATACAGTATGAGGTAACTGTGGGAGAGAATCTCAGTTGCATACTCCTTGTGTCCTCTCCTCACCTCCTTCTCAAGACCCAAAGCCAGAGGTCCCTCCCCTTTGACCTTCTCCTCCAATGGGTTTTGAGGAGGAGGCGAGGAGGGAGATTCTCCCTGTGTGTTAGTGGGCGGTACAGTGGGGCGATGCAGGGAAGTGAAACTGGAAACAAAAATGAGCTTTCTCATTGGACGAGATCAGATAGCGCCTCTTGCCTTTTGAAACCTTTTCTTCCATGTTGCACCTACTGAACACCCCCTGTTCTGTTCCCTTCTGTCTTCCACAGACACTGAACAAGAACAACCTTCTCCCGGACGAGAGCTGCAACTTCTTCCCCTCGCCCCTCTCGCCCCTCCCCTCCCTCCCCCAGAATAATGTGTACACCACCACCTACTACCCTGCACCCCTGGGTAAATACGACCACCCCTTCCACCCCGACTCGCCTTGCAGGAACTATATGCACCACAGTTGAGACAGGACCCCAACCCCCCCCCCCCCCCCCCCCCCCCCCCAACTTGACCCCCCAGCCCAAACTCATCTCTATGGGAAGTTGGAAACACTCCTGCACCAGACCCTTCATTGTTTCCTCTCCTCTCTTCTCCACCTCTCCTCCCTTGAGTGTGTGCTGTGCTACAGTGAGGTGGAGCTGTGTTAATGACCCTTGAACTGGGTGTGCCCTCTCAAGGTCCCAACCGTGCACGTTCTTCTCAATCACCAGTGCGGACAGAGGTTGAACTGTGCCTGTCAACCAACAGGACAATCATTTGGTATCATTGTGACTGTTCAGTTGATGTGACTGTTTTATGACGTTGTTTTTCTGCTCTACTGTACAGTACAGCAACTCATCTCAAGACCAGGAAGTAGACTGGACCATGTGGAATGCTGGGAGTTGGAGTCTTGTGAGGGAGCTGGGCTGTAGCAGCCTTATGGTTCAATATGGAGATTCACTACTTGTGGAATCTGTTCTAAAACAACACCGTTAAAACCCTACAGTATCAGATCATGTATATCACAAAAACCCACAGACTTCACATTTGATCTGAGGAGTATAGACGGCAAAGTCAACCATTCCCAAAGGATACTGTAGCTGAGTATGCTGACCAAGACACCTTCCAGCTCTAACAATCTACTTTATGATAATAATAATAATAATATGCCATTTAGCAGACGCTTTTATCCAAAGCGACTTACAGTCAGTCATGTGTGCATACATTTTTGCGAATGGGTGGTCCCGGGGATCGAACCCACTACCCTGGCGTTACAAGCGCCGTGCTCTACCAATTGAGCTACAGAGGACCGCATGATGTTGATAGTGCAGAACTCACTGACACTGACAGTATGGCACGTTTGTTATACTCCTGCTTACCCACTTGTTCCTACTGTCTGATTTGACACACTGCATCAGATCAGCCTCATGGTCCGGTGCTCCCGCACTGTGGAATAACAGAGAGGGAAAGAGAGCGAGGGGCTGGTATTGCTTTCAACTGAGCAGCCCAAGGACTCCTGGGATACGTCCCAAATGGTACCCTATACCCTATATAGCACAATGAGCCCTGGTCAAAAGGAGTGCACTATGTAGGGAATAGGGTGCCAAATGTGACGTGGCCATGGCCTCTTAAGGGGTTTCTAATCCTGTAAGTACCTGCACCGGCACCCAAAAATGACAATGGCGGATACTGGATCACTCAGTACCACTTCCACTGGATCATAATACTGGATCACTCAGCACCGCTTCCACTGGATCACAATACTGGATCACAATACTGGATCACTCTCGGCACCGCTTCTATTGGATCACAATACTGGATCACAATACTGGATCACTCTCAGCACCGCTTCCATTGGATCACAATACTGGATCACAATACTGGATCATGTTTTGGTAATCATCTGCAGAAGAAGATGGTAACACCGGCCATGAAAAGAGATACCCTGTGTGTGTGTGTGTGTGTGTGTTGCTGGGTCATTCATTGTTGTAAATGTTACTGTGAGTGTGGAGAGTATTAATGTGATGGTATTAGAGTAATGCTGATTAACCTATCTCTTCCAGTCACATTCAAGTTGTTCATGAGTTACAGATCTGAGCCAAATCTAAGCTGATGGTGCGATATCTTCAACTAAATGATACTGAGCCTTGAAGTGTACTGGAAAGGTTCTCAAACTATTCATTCTCCATTCGATGAATGCAAAGTGTCATGTTTTCTAAAACAGCAAATCTCAAGAGTTAATTTGTTCATAGATGTTGTTCCATGCTAGAGTCAATGAAACCTAAAGTTAGTATGGTTTGTATAATGTATATTGTATAGCTTTTCTGTGTTTTTAAAGGCTTCTAGTTGTAAAAATTCATATGTTTTGGAAATATCAAGACAGAGATGGAGGTTTGTACCTGTCAGTAACCAAGGTTTGAGTTCTTCTCCATCCTGGATTTGATGTGAGTGCCAGTCTGTTTGTGCTGTCATGCCAACCCCTCGTCACTCATTGTCGCTTGGCTTGACAATGACCAATGGAGTTGGCAAGAGCACAAACAGATCTGGGACCAGCCTAGATGTTATGTAGCATAAAATGCAGCCCTGTAATGTAGTAATGACAGATCTGGGACCAGCCTAGATGTTATGTAGCATAATGTGCAGCCCTGTAATGTAGTAATGACAGATCTGGGACCAGCCTAGATGTTATGTAACATAATGTTCAGCCCTGTAATGTACAGTCATGGTCAAAAGTTTTGAGAAGGACACAAGTATTGGTCTTCACAAAGTTCGCTGCTTCAGTGTTATGAGATATTTTTGTCAGATGTTACTATGGTATACTGAAGTATAATTACAAGCTTTTATTGACAATTACATTAAGTTTATGCAAAGAGTCAATATTTGCAGTGTTGACCCTTCTTTTTCAAGACCTCTGCAATCCGCCCTGGCATGCTGTCAATTCACTTCTGGGTCACATCCTGACTGATGGCAGCCCATTCTTGCATAATCAATACTTGGAGTTTGTCAGAATTTGTGGGTTTTTGTTTGTCCACCTGCCTCTTGAGGATCGACCACAAGTTCTCAATGGGATTAAGGTCTGGGGAGTTTCCTGGCCATGGACCCAACATTTTGATGTTTTGTTCCCCGAGCCACTTAGTTATCACTTTTGCCTTATGGCAAGGTGCTCCATCATGCTGGAAACGGCATTGGTCGTCACCAAACTGTTCTTGGATGGTTGGGAGAAGTTGCTCTTGGAGGAGGTGTTGGTACCATTCTTTATTCATGGCTGTGTTCTTAGGCAAAATTGTGAGTGAGCCCACTCCCTTGGCTGAGAAGCAACCCCACACATGAATGGTCTCAGGATGCTTTACTGTTGACATGACACAGGACTGATGGTAGCGCTCACCTTGTCTTCTCCGAACAAGGTGTTTTCCGGATGCCCCAAACAATCGGAAAGGGGATTCATCAGAGAAAATGACTTTACCCCAGTCCTCAGCAGTCCAATCCCTGTACCTTTTGCAGAATATCAGTCTGTCCCTGATGTTTTTCCTGGAGAGAAGTGGCTTCTTTGCTGCCCTTCTTGACACCAGGCCATTCTCCAAAAGTATTTGCCTCACTGCATGCAGATGCACTCACACCTGCCTGCTGCCATTCCTGAGAAAGCTCTGCACTGGTGGTGCCCCAATCAACTTTAGGAGACGGTCCTGGCGCTTGCTGGACTTTCTTGGGCGCCCTGACGCCTTCTTCACAACAATTTAACCTCTCCTTGAAGTTCTTGATGATCCGATAAATGGTTGATTTAGGTGCAATCTTACTAGCAGCAATATCCTTGCCTGTGAAGCCCTTTTTGTGCAAAGCAATGATGACGGCACGTTTTTCCTTGCAGGTAACCATGGTTGACAGAGGAAGAACAATGATTTCAAGCACCACCCTCCTTTTAAAGCTTCCAGTCTGTTATTCTAACTCAATCAGCATGACAGAGTGATCTCCAGCCTTGTCCTCGTCAACACTCTCACCTGTGTTAACGAGAGAATCACTGACATGATGGCAGCTGGTCCTTTTGTGGCAGGGCTGAAATGCAGTGGAAATGTTTTTTTGGGATTAAGTGGATTTTCATGGCAAAGAGGGACTTTGCAATTAATTGCAATTCATCAGATCACTCTTCATGACATTCTGGAGTATATGCAAATTGCCATCATCAAAACTGAGGCAGCAGACTTTGTGAAAATTAGTATTTGTGTCATTCTCAAAACTTTTGGCCACGGCTGTAGTAATGTAGCCACACATAGGTTTAGCTTCCATGGTATCTGTTACCCTCAAATTTCAAGATACAACCCTCTTCATTTATTTCAATAAGTTTCATTGTGTGTGTGTGTGTGTGTGTGTGTGTGTGTGTGTGTGTGTGTGTGTGTGTGTGTGTTCAAATGAAAAAACTAAATATTACTGTACATTCATTGTTGTGGACACTCACAGGACACCCTCACTTCGTTGTGTCATCGTGATTGAACATGCTGCTGTTGCATGTTCGAAAAACACCAATTGGAGGGCTCTGCACCCTAACCAGGTGGTACTGTCAGCTGGGTATTGTAGTCCTGCTCACAAGCTATTTCTCTTTTCCAGAGTTACAAACATGACTGTTGGATTTGTGAATTGAGACTTTTTAATCACTGCCTTTTAGACACTGTGAATTTTTTGGTACTCTATATTTTTGTATATTGTACATTGTAAAAAATGAATAAAAATGAACTTTGGTGCCAAACATCTGTCAACTGACCCCTTCTACATTCACTACATCACATCAATAGGAAGCTTGGTTGATTACTAGGAAGCTTGGTTGATTACTCCATTGTAAAGACACTACCATTCAGTGAAGCTTGGTTGATTACTCCATTGTAAAGACACTACCATTCAGTTAGCCTCACTACATCACTAGGAAGCTTGGTTGATTACTCCATTGTAAAGACACTACCATTCAGTTAGCCTCACTACATCACTAGGAAGCTCGGTTGATTACTCCATTGTAAAGACACTACCATTCAGTTAGCCTCTTGCTCTTTGCCTACAGTCACCACGTATTCATACTGTATTTGTGCTGAGGCCAACTTCGGTCTTCTTACATACATGTATGGTGCATGGCAACAATAAGAGCAGAGTTGGCCAACACATACAGTATGGACACAATCAAATGTATTTTAGAAAGCCCTTACATCAGCAGTTGTCACAAAGTGCTTTACAGATACCCAGCCTAAAACCCCCAAAGAGCAAGCAATGCAGAGGGAGAAGCACGGTAGCTTGGAAAAACGTCCTAGAAAGGCAAGAACCTAGGAAGAAACCTAGAGAGGAACCAGTCTCTGAGGGGAGGCCAGTCCTCTTCTGGATGTACCGGGTAGAGAGGAACCAGTCTCTGAGGGGTGGCCAGTCCTCTTCTGGCTGTACCGGGTAGAGAGGAACCAGTCTCTGAGGGGTGGCCAGTCCTCTTCTGGCTGTACCGGGTAGAGAGGAACCA